AGGGGACACAGGGGGAGGGGACACAAGGGGGAGGGGATGCAGGGGGAGGGGACACAGGGGGGAGGGGACACAGGGGGAGGGGACACAGGGGGGAGGGGACGCAGGGGGAGGGGACACAGAGGGGGAGGGGACACAGGGGGAGGGGACACAGGGGGGAGGGGACACAGGGGGAGGGGACACAGATGCCCTGGTCAGTCACGCTGGGGCCTGGGCCTATGAGAAAGGGGTGCCAGGGTTTGCGGGGTGACTCGGGGTGCAGGGGGCGCTGGGGCTCTGGCTGTCATGGCCAGAACAGGAAGGCGGACTCCTGGTTGGACGGGGTTTCCCAGGCCCCCAGCTCCCCAACGGCCCCAGGCTGCTCTGCTCTGGCCCTTCTCTGTACCCCGACAGGGCACACTTTGGGGCCCACCTGTGCCAGGCCCAGCCCCACCCCCTGGCCACCACCCCACTGCCTCCAGGACCAGGCCTGCGCCACCCAAGGAGGGGGCGGGCCTCGGGCTGCAGGCTGAGAAACCTGTTTTCCGGGTTCATCCCAGCGAGCGGTGAGGTGAGCCCTGAGCCCCTGCCGGCCAGCTCCCCCAACCCCCGGCCCAGGCCCGTATGCGAGGGAGGGGGGCCACGGCGGTGGGGGCAGGCTGGGACCCCCCCCCCCCAGCCACCTGCCTGCGGCCCAGCAGGTCTCCCCCCCCTCCGCCCCCCGCCTAGTCCTGGGGACCCACGGGGCACAGGCCCGCCGTTCAGCAGGAGGAACCGGAGCGAGGGCTGAGGCTGCCCTTCGGGACAAAGACGACGGAGTCAGAGAGAACGCCTGAGCCGTGCTTCCTGCCCGAGAGGATCCGAGGAACCTGCCCAGGAGCCAGCCTCGGCCGCGGCACCCTGGGGTGGGGTCTTCAGCCAGGGGTGCCCCGGCACCCTGGTGTGCCCCAAGGCCCTGTCCAGCAGCTCACCGTTAGCCGTGCCGAGGGAAGGCCTGTCTCAGCCGTAAACACAGGTTTCCCCCCAATGCACGCACACACTTTGGACGATTACAAAGGCGTGTGCACAAGACACACCCATCTTCACACGGAGCCGCCCGCGGCGAGCGCGCACGTAGGTTTGGGGGGACAGCCGATAAATAGCGCTTCCTCTCTGTCATGTCACAGAGCAAGGCTGTATCTGAGTGGTTAATTTGGTACCAGAAATCCTTACGTAATTTTTTTAAATTTACTGTTTATTGATCTCAGAGAGGAAAGGAGAGGGAGAGAAACATCCACGATGAGAGAGAACCACGGATTGGCTGCCTCCTGCAGGCCCCCCACTGAGGGTGGAGCCTGCAACCAGGTCCTGTGCCCCAACTAGGAATCGAACCCTGACCTCCTGGTTCCTAGGTCGATCGATGCCCAGTCCCTGAGCCCTGCCAGCAGGGTGGCACCTGGTTTTTTAAAAAGTCACTTTGGGCAGAAACCGGTTTAGCTCAGTGGATAGAGCATCGGTCTGCGGACTGAAAGGTCCCAGGTTCGATTCCGGTCAAGGGCACGTGCTTTGGTTGCGGGCACATCCCTGGTGTGGGGTGTGCAGGAGGCAGCTGGTCGATGTCTCTCTCTCATCGATGTTTCTGGCTCTCTAACTCTCTCCTCTCCCTTCCTCTCTGTAAAAAATCAATTAAAAAAAAAATATATATATATATATATACTTAAGTCACTTTGGAACAGAAAGCGAAGGCAGTGATTTTTTTTTATTAAATCTATGAAGATTATAACCACTTTTTGTCAGATCAGCAGAGAATGCAGCATGCTAGTTGTTCGCTTACGTGTCTGTGAGCTGATGGGTTGAAAATCGCCGCCCGGAGCCCTTCCCCGTCTCCCTCCGGCCGGGGCTCCGGGCCGGTTAGCGAGAACCCGTGTGTCCCCGGGGCTCAGAGCCGCCTGGTGAGAGGCTTCCCGGAGCGTCAAACTCTCTGCCACGGGACACAGGCGCCCACGGCGGACGTTTGTGCAGCCCCGCCAACATAACGGTGTGCGAGGAGCGTTTTAATGAAGGTTTCCCAACTTAATTTTTATGACATCCGGTTACACATAATTATTTTTATTTATTTATTTAAATATATTTTATTGATTTCTTTACAGAGAGGAAGGGAGAGAGATAGAGAGCTAGAAATGTCGATGAGAGAGAAACATCGACCAGCTGCCTCCTGCACACCTCCTACTGGGGATGTGCCCACAACCAACGTACATGCCCTTGACCGGAATCGAACCTGGGACCCTTCAGTCCGCAGACCGACGCTCTATCCACTGAGCCAAACCGGTTTCGGCTGGTTACACATAATTATTATTAACAAGCTGCAACGTTCGCTAACGACTGGTGACTGTCATCGTGCTGCCTCCATTTCCCTCACGCGCAGACGCCCACTTCTCTCGGCTGACACCAGCAGAGAATATTCCAGCAGCCGATGGCCACGGCATTAGTGTGGGACTGACTTGTTTGGTGAGCGCAGTGAGAAACATTTCGCTTTCAGAGAGCAGGAGAAACAGGTTTACATGCGAGACGCTTATAAATTTGTGCCGTTACTCAGTGTCTGGTAAGTTAACGTTCAAGAAGGAATGTTAATTTTTATTAAGCTGACCTGTTGTTTTATGTTGATGACGACTCGTGTATCTCAGCCCGGCGTACCCGACCCGTCTCTGTCGGAATGAGCCTGCATTCCTATGAAAATGGAAGCCTTGGTTTGTTGTGGCCACACCCACTCACACCTGGGTCACTCAGCCCGCGGTGGCCTCTGAGTGCGACACGCCTGTCCTCCGTCTGTTCTCCACCCACCACCCCCGTCAGTCACTCGCTCGGGTGCTGAGAGCTCAGACCCGCCCCTGCTCCTTCGTCCAGGAAGGTGCTGCCTCGTTCTCGTCGGGATGTCTATCCTTCCTGGACAGCCCACAGGCCTGGGCGTTAAGATCCAACTTTCTGCCGAAACCGGTTTGGCTCAGTGGATAGACCGTCGGTCTGCGGACTGAAAGGTCCCGGGTTTGATTCCGGTCAAGGGCATGTACCTTGGTTGCGAGCACATCTCCGGTGGGGGGTGTGCAAGAGGCAGCTGATCGATGATTTTCTCTCATCGATGTTTCCAGCTTTCTATCCCTCTCTCTTCCTCTCTGTAAAAAATAAATAAAATATATTAAAAAAAAAAAAAAAAGATCCGACTTTCTCCCACGACCCTGTCTCTGTTGGTTTGAACACCGACCCAGCTGGAACTTGGAAGGTGGGAGGAAAAGTGTCCAATATCTTAGCCTTCGATGGGGCTAGTGGTGACCAGGGGCCCCACCCCCGCTTGTCCCCCACCACGCCCGCCTCGCCCATCCCAGAGTCCCAAGACCTGAGGACTAGTCGGTCACACCCTCAGCCATGTCCACACCTTGACACGGAGGCCGGGGAGCGGTCACTCGGCTCTGTCTTTGGTTCCCATCTAAGTTCACACGTGGAGGTGTAACTCACACCCTGAACCCAACCCGCTCACGTGGTGGAGCCCATGAGCCCATGGCGACACCTGCTGGCCGTACTGGAGTCTGACCCCAAGCCCTGGAGCTGCAGCTGCTAAATGTGCATAGATTTGGGGGGACGAGGGGGAGGACACCCTGTAGTAGGCGATACAATAGCGTTGCGCCTTATTTGCCACCTCCCATGATGAAGTTGCATCTGATTGGTTAATCTGGGCACCAGAGATCAGTATACACGTATAGGCACCTAATTTTTCAAAAAGTCCCTTTGAGCCCTGACCGGTTTGGCTCAGTGGATAGAGCGTCAGCCTGTGGAATCAAGGGTCCCAGGTTCGATTCCGGTCAAGGGCATGTACCTTGGTTGCGGGCACAGCCCCAGCTGATCAGTGATTCTCTCTCATCGATGTTTCTAACTCTCTCCCTCTCCCTCTCTGTAAAAATCAACATGTATTTTTTAAAGTCACTTTGGAGCAAAACAGAAGGCAATTATTCCTTTTTTTCTTTGCCAGTGGCACCCAAACAAGCGGCTGTGGGCGCCCGTGAGGAAGGAGGCCATCTCTGTGAGGCGGCGCTTCCCTGCCGGCGGGCTGGCCGAGGGCACGCTGGGCCCCGCCTCGCCCACAGGGGCCGTGGGCCCTGAGGCTCCGGCCTCTCCGCCCCCACACCCGCCTTCTCCCGCCGTCCTTCCTCGGGGCCTGAGGCCGTGCCCCTGGCGAAGCCCCGGAGTGTGGCCCTGCCAAGCCCCGGCCTCTCGGGGTCTGCGCTCCGGCGGGTAGCGGGCGGGAGCGGAGGTGCGGTCTGGTCCTATGGTCCCTGGTCCCCAAGCCTCGGAGCCCCGCTCCCAAACGGGGTCCCAGAGCCCCTTTGGGGGGGCCGGCGGAGGGCGCCGGCCGCAGGAGGGCCGGCCCGCGCGGGGCCGCACCCTCCTCAGTCCCGGGTCCCAGCGGCCGGAGGGCGGGGGGCGGGCGAGGCTTCCCCGCCTCGCGGGGGTCACACCGCCTCTGGCTTCCAGGCCGCCTCTCAGTCCACACGCGCGGGAGCAGCAGCTCCGCTTTCAGACCCGGAACCCCGCCCACGGACCCGGGCCCGCCCGGCGCCCGCCAGGCTCCCGCGGGTCGGCGCCCTGAGTCCCGGCCTCAGGAGGCGGGGCCCCGCTCCCGTCCCGTCCCGCCCACCTCATCGCCCAATCCGAATCCTCGGGCCCGGCTGTCCTCCGCCCAGCCCCGGATGGCCCCGCCCACCACTAAGCCCCGCCCTCGGCCGTCCGTTCCCGCCCCTCTCACTGCCCAATCGGAGCCCGAGGGCTACCCAACAAGATCCCGCCCCCGTTCCCAGAAGCCCCGCCCCTCCATCGCCCGCCCCCGCCCCTCTCACCGCCCAATCCGAACCCGCGAGCCCGGCTATTCCCCCGCCCCGCCCCAGCCTGGCCCCGCCCCACGGTCCGTGACGCACGATGTGTGCGCCCCACGCCCAGCCGGTCATCAGGCAGCGCCGTGTGGGCGTGGCCATCCGGGTCCCCGGGTCCCCGCAGCCATGGCTTCGGCGGCCGCCAGTCCCCCCGAGGTGGTCCGCGCGGCCCAGAAGGACGACTACTACCGCGGCGGGCTGCGGAGCGCGGCGGGCAGCGCCCTGCACAGCCTGGCGGGTGAGCGGCGAGGCGCCGCTGGCGGTGACCGGCCCGTGGGTGGTCCTGGGCGCCCCGGACCCGCCCGTCGCACCCCAGACTGCCGGAGGAGGAGCGAGGCCGTGGGCGCCCGCCGCCGGGGGTGGGGCGGCCGGGGCTGAGGGGGCAGGGCAGGCGCGAGTGGGCGCTTTACAAATAACTCACTGAACCCCGAACGCCCTGAGAGTGGGAGCGGGGGTCCTGAGACCCTGGGACTGCCGAGGCCGGACGAGGGCGGGGAGCAGGGTGGGCGCTGGGCCGCCGCTCGGTCTGTTCCAGTCTGCCCTGTGGCCCTCCGGCGCCAGGGCACTCCCAGGAGGATCCGGGGGAGAGGGACTCCGGGTGGGCGTACCCGGGAGACGGGGAGCCTGGCGAGGCAGGTGCAGGGGAGCAGAATGGGCCGCTCGGAGGCCGGTGGAGGGAGAGGGTGTGCGTTTGGGACAGTCTCCGCTTCGAGGTCAGGGTTGTGCGGGGCCTGGGCAGCCGGAGGACCTCACTGACCCCCGAGGCCCCAGTAACATGCTGCTCTGCTCTCAGGCGCCAAGAAGTGGCTGGAGTGGAGGAAGGAGCTCGAGCTGCTGTCGGACGTGGCCTACTTCGGCCTCACCACACTTGCAGGTGGGCTCCCCGGGGGACCCAGGACCCGGGGCCACAGCCACGCCAAGCCCAGAGGACAGGCGGGGGGCGGACAGCTCCCGGGGTGCCTCCCAGTCTTCTCGGAGCCGGACCCCACAACCCTACCCTCTCCTAAGGGGAGGCCAGGCCCCGAGCCTCAGAGCTCTGGCGGCCACGCAACGTCGTGTCCGGTTCCTCCTTTCATCCTCTCTGTGTCCCTGGGACCTTTCTCCTGCGGGTGCCATGGAGACGGCTTCTCCGTGGCCGACCCCGTGGTCCGAGAGGGGCTCAGGAGAACTCGGACCTGCCTCAGCCCCTCCCGCTGTCTCCGCCCCCAGGCTACCAGACCCTCGGCGAGGAGTACGTGGGGCTCGTGCAGGTGGGCCCGACCCGGAGCCAGGTGCCCCAGGGGCTGCGCCGCGGCGTGCTGGTGGCGCTGCACACGGTCCTGCCCTACGTGCTGGACAAGGCGCTGCTCCACCTGGAGCAGGAGCTGCAGGCCGACGGCAACGGCGCCCGCCCGGCTCCCGGCGCCTCCAGGGGCCGGTCGGGAGCCCGGCGCTGGGTGCACAGGCAGGTGGCGGCCCTGCCGGAGCCGCAGAGGAAGGCGCTGCTGCGGGCCGCGCTGGTGCTCAGGCAGGGCCTGGGCTGCCTCCACCGGCTGCACGTCGCCTGGTTCTACATCCACGGTGCCTTCTACCACCTGGCCAAGCGGCTCACGGGCGTCACCTACGTAAGTGCCGGCGCACCCACGGCTGGACCCGGGCTTGCCCGCGCGGAGGTGGCTCTTCGGGCCTCTGTGGACCGGCACCCGGGCTGGCCAGACCCTCCACTGGGCTTTGTTGGTTCATATTTTGCTAAAAAACAAAAATCCAGGAAGTTTAGTTTCCACAAACCCTGAAGGTCGGGCATGTCTGCCTTTGGGGCCACACTCAGTGCCAGGCCCTGCGCCTGCTCTGTACTCGGAGCGCAGGCCTGTGGCCACACCTCCCAGCCCGTGGCCACACCTCCCAGCCCGTGGCCACGTGGCCACACCTCCCAGCCTGTGGCCGCACCTCCCAGCCGTGGCCACACCTCCCAGCCTGCCCTGACTGTGGGTCACGTGTAGGTGTTTCCTGAGGAACGTGAGCCCCTCCGCTGACCGCGTCCCGCTGTCTCTGCCACAGCTCACACCCTCCTGTCCCAGTCCCCTGGTCCCCAGTCGCCTAGAAGCCGCCCTCGGACCTGCCTGCCCACAGAGGGTCTCCGGCCCCCTCTCCAGCTGCTCTCAGCATGGCGCTCCCTTTGAGAAAGCCGCACCGACTCCCCTGCCCCTCTCCACCTCCCTCAGCAGCAGGTCCCGGGCAGGTGCCTCCCCTGTGGGTCCAGTCACATCCCCACGTGCTCCTGTGTGCTGCTGAGCTGCTGACCAGGAGCCCGGAAACTCAGGCTCAGGCTCTTCTCTGCCAGGCACCAGGCCCGGCCGGGCTGCTGGCTTGGCTGCCTCCATCCCAGCCAAGGGAAGGGAGGCGGCCGTGGCCGCCCGTCACTGGCTGCCGGAGGGGCTGCTGACCTGTCACGCCAGTGGCGTGGGCACCTGTTCCTGCCACACAGCTGGTTAGAGCTGCTCCCGCCCGCTGGGTGCTCCTTCTCAGGCCTCTTTGCTGGCTCCTCGCCTCTCTGAGATGGGTCCTTGGATGTCCCCACCTCACATCCTCACATGCAGCCAGCGTGGTCACTTCTCGCTTCTCTGCTGGGACGAGCCCTGAGCTGTCCAGTAGCGCCCTGACTGCCCCCCTGTGCTCAGGCCCTGGGAGGTGCCCTGCCCTTCTCCCTCCCCGTGGGCACCGAGGCGGCAGGGCTGGGCCTCGTTTGACAGGACACGCACAGTGAGTGCAGGCAGAGGCTGGCCTCCCGGTCTGTCCGGTCGTGTGACCATCTCTGGGGGGTCCTTGGCAGCTCCGCCTGCGCCGCCCGCCGGCGGCGGACCTGCGGCCCAGGGCGAGCTACCGGCTGCTGGGCCTGGTCTCCCTGCTGCACCTGGCGCTGTCCCTGGGGCTGCAGCTGTACGGCTTCCGGCAGAGGCAGCGCGCCCAGCGCGAGTGGAAGCTGCACCGCAGGATGTCTCGCCGCAGGTGTGCAGGGCCGGCCCAGGGCTCGGGGTGCTCAGCAAGGGCCTGGGGCTCAATCCTCTCCCCCACCCACAGGAGCCTCACGGAGGAGAAAGCCGTGTCCCGGAACTCGCTGTGCACCCTGTGCCTGGAGGAGCGCAGGCACTCGACGGCCACGCCCTGCGGCCACCTGTTCTGCTGGGAGTGCATCACCCAGTGGTGCGACACCAAGGTCAGTGCGACACCAGGTCAGCCCGCCCCGAGCGCAGGCCCGCCGTGACCGCCAGGCGGCCGCCCTGAGCTTGGTGGGCGGGGGTGGGGGGAAGGGGTGTCTGAAAGCCCCTGGTAAGCGGGATCGGATTCGGAGTCAAGGCACCACGGCTGCCAGGTGTGTGGAGAAGGTGCGCTCCTGGGAGGGTGTTCCTTCCCCGGTGGCTCCTGGTCACACACGCCAGACCCGCCCCTCCAGCCAGACAGGGCCCCCCCACACACACACCCATTGACGGCCGTGCGGGAGCCCAGGCCCCAGGGCGAGGGTGCGGGAGCCGGGTGACAGCAGAGCCTCTCACCTTGCTGACCCTCACCTTCGTGGTGTCTCCGAGGGAGTGGGAGGGCCACCGGGTGAGGAGGCAAAATGGGGCATGTGCTCACGGCTCGCCAGGCTCGGCTCCTGCCCCCGTCCCCGCTCTGGGCCCCATGGGTGCCTCCCGGCGAGCGGCCGACCTTGCAGGGCGGGAGGGGAGCTGACCTGGTCGCACCCAGGTGGTCTTGGGGTGGGCCACCCGGCTTCAGGGATGGGACGGAGAGGGGCACAGGCAGCCCCGGGGTGGCAGCCCCCAGCCCATCACTGAGTGGCAGGCCGGCCGGGATGACGGCCCACCCGGCGGGTGGCCTTGGAGAAATGCTGACTGTCTTACATGGATGCCGGCGCCGGTGGGGAGGGCGCAGTGGCCTCGCAGGGACACAGCCCATGTGACCTCTCCCTCCCCCCCAGACGGAGTGTCCCCTGTGCAGGGAGAGGTTCCCTCCCCAGAAGCTGGTCTACCTGCGGCACTTCCGGTGACAGGACAGACGGACAGAGCACCGCAGCCGCTGCAGAGCGCCAGGCATAGCCCTCAAACATGGAGACCAGGGTGCCCGCCCACACCCTGTCCAGTCCAGCAGGTGCCTTTCCCGCCTGAGGATTTCCTCAGACTGTGGAGGGAAGGACATGGACATGGACATGAGACACACCGATTGGTTGCCTCTCACCTGGGCCGAGATCAAACCTGAAGCCGAGGTACATGTCCTTGATCAGACTCAAACCCATGACCATTCAGTCTGTGGGCAAAAGCTCTAACCGCTGAACCACACCAGCCTTTATTCACATGTCAAGTCTGTTCTCCATTCAGGATTTGGGGTCTGTCCTGGTCCCTGCAGACTCTGAGGCCCTTCCCCCCACGGGGGCGCTGCTGGGGCAGAGCCAGCTTGCCTGAGAAGTTTTCCTAACACTGAGGCACAGACCCCTCCAAGTCTGGCACTGGGACAGCCACCACCTGTGTCCGCCTACTTCCTGCCACAGCCACACACTGTATTTGTCAGGTTTAAAACCGTTTAACTCGCACGAGAGACAGAACTTGGCCATAAACCCCCTTAAAAGCCAAACCCACAGAAATAGGCGTGTTGAGAGCCCTGAGGGTGGGGCCACCCCCGGCCAGGACCTCAGGTCTGCGTGGCACCGCTGGAGTGCAGACGGGCCTGGGGCCGTGGCCACGCAGGCCGCTCCCTAGAGTGAATTGTCCAGCCACAGACGCTGTTCTCCGAGGGAATGACGGTCATGGCCGCTGACCGAGGGCCCAGGTGGCTGCCACCGGCCCAAAGTCCTGACTTACACTTGGCCAAGCACAGCCTCCCGCCAGGCCGGTCTGGCGCTCGCTGGGAGGACGGTGCGTGAGGTGAGGCGGCCGGGGCCTGGCCGCAGGCATGCTGCTCGGGCACGTCCACAGGTTCCTCAGCAGCAGGTGGAAGTCTGAGCACTCCGCTTCCGAGCAAGAGCAGCCCTGGCCGGCGGCTCCGGCGGTGAGCACCGTCCCGTGCACCAAAGGGTTTTTCGGGGTCGATCCCAGGAGCACGTACGGGAGGCAGCCGTAGGGTGTCCCTCTGACGTCGATGTTTCTCTTCCCCCCTCCTCTCTCAAATCAAATCAAATGGACACATATCCTCGGGGGGGGGGGGCGGAAGGGGGGGCGGGTTAGAAAGCAGGAGGAGCTGAAGTCCAGGTGGGCAAAAAAGGCCAAGAAACCTGTCCCCACCTGAGGGCAGAACCCAGGACACGGGCTGCTCAGCCCCGGTCTGAGCCCCGACCCAGAGAAAGGACTCCCGGCTCCGCGCCTGCCCAGCCCTGCCTCGCTCTGCCCACCGTGCCTGGCAGAGTCCCGCGGGCGCTTCTGGATAAAGACTCCGTGCGGAAGGGGACACCGTCTTTAATAAAGTTTGAATTAAAAAGTCACTTAGGAAAAGGGTCAGAGCATCTGTTTTCAGTACATCAGAAAGTCGGCATGCAGGTCCGCGTCGATCCTGGAAAGAGCCGGGACCCACAGAACTGGGCCTCCCGCTCGCTGCTGTGGGGCTACCACGTGGGAACTCAAATTAACCAAGCAACTCTTTACGTATGAAAGAATGTCAAAATAATCCAAACAATTAAAATATAATATATATTTATAATTCCAGGCCCCGCAGCAATCATGTGGCTAAGACAGAACTCCAGTCATGAGGCCGTGGGACCGCCTTGGTGAGGGGCGGCTGGGACAGGCGTCCTGCAAACCTGTGAGCGCGGCTCCAGCTGTGCTGGGCTGGGCGCGGCCTCCTCGGTCCTTCGCCCCCAGCCCCTCGGCCGCCCAGCCCGACTCCCAATTCTGTCCGTTCCACCTGGCGTCACTGCAAAGGAATCAATGCAATCAGGTTCAGTGGCAGTTTCCTGAGAACCCGTTATTTCAGTTACAAATAAGTGAAGCTCCTTTTACAAAGAAAATCTGACTCCCTCGCCATCAACTACTTTATGTGGAAAGAAGGCGCGGTTACAATGGCTCAGACCGCCGTGGGCTCCGAGGATGGCGGGCGGCGTCTTAACTCGCGAACGTCTTGCCCACGTCCTCCTTCCCCTTGTACGTCCTCTTGCCGTGCGTGAACGGGATGTACCGGTACTTGATCATGTGCTGGGGACAGAAGGACACGTGTCAGGCGATAAAGAGGGCTCCGGCAGCGAGCTTCCACCCCAGGGTCCCTCCTGCAGGGTGCCAGAGCTGGGGAGCAGGGTGGGTCGGGTCGGGAAAGGTCCCAGAGCAGGAGGGGCCGGGACGAGAGGCGCCCTGGCAACAGGGAGGTGATCTGCCCAGGCCGCTTTAGGGTCCATGTGCATAACCCTGCACCGTCAGGCAGGTCCTGGCTCTGACCCACAGGACGCCGTGCCAGGAGGAGAGCACCACCAGGACCTTTCCACCCAGCCCAGGGCTGTGTGCCCGGCCGTTCCCCGACACCGGCCGTGGCCCAGAACCCCAGGCAGAGGGGAGCGAGCCCGTGTCCCCGCCCCAGGCCTGCAGAGCTTCCTGCCGCCGGCCCTCCCCACGCTCCGTGGCTGCTGTGGCAGGCCCGCCTGTGGGCTCGGGGTACCTTGATCTGCCTCTTCATGGTGATGCAGAAGAGCATGATGAAGTACATGACCAGGATGGGCCAGAACACGGGCACGTTGAACGCCTCGAAGAAGGTGCAGACCATGGCCACCAGGATGCCCTTGGTGGCCGAGTGCCTGGGGGGGGGGAGCATCTGACATGGGCTCTGGCCGGACACAGCTCCGTGTCCTCCCGACTCCCCCGTCTGACCGCAGTGCGGGTGCTGACCCGCTCCCCCAGGGACCACCAGGGCTCCGCCATGCAGCCTGGCCCATGGCCCCACTGACCCTCCTCCTGGGCTCCCCTCCTACAGAGCAAGGCCAGTTTCCGGGCTCCCAGGTGCCCCGCCCCCCCCACGTCACGCTGAGCACCACCAGGTCCCCCACACGGTTTTGACCCAAAAGTTCAAGACAAAGGGCCCAGAGCCCCACCCCGACTGGGGTCCCCCTCACAGAAGTCACAGCCTCTAGGGAGTCTGGGGAGCAGCCAACCTCGTCCCCGGGCCCAGCACTTCCCAGGGCGCAGCCACCCCGCGCTGGGCTGCCCGGGGACACCTGAGCGGAGGGAGCTGTCCGGCTGCCTCGCCAGAGGGGAGCAGGAGAGAGACTGCCACGCAGCCCACCCTTCAGGGGCGAGTCAGCAACGTACCCGGAGGCTCTGCCTGGAAAAACCTCTTTGCACGTTTCAAAGACCTTTGGCCTCAGCTAGGAGAGGCCAGGCAGCCGTCACAGGGGCCTGGCCACCCCCGCCCGCGGGCACGGGCTCCTGCTGGGGGCGAGCCCTGTTCACAACCAGTGAGGACGCTCATTCTCCGAGAAGTCCCCCTGCTGCCTCAGGGTCTGTTCCCGGGCCCACAGCCTGAGGGCCGCTCCGGGGCACTCACCAGAACTTAAACTCGGGGAGCCTCCGGATGAACGGCCGGAACTCCTCGTTCTGTTTGGTCGGTAAAGAGGGGCCGTCATCTGAAAGGCAGAGCGCCATCAGCAAAGGCGCACACGTGGCGCCTCTTACTTCCACGACCCTACACCTTCCCCGCACCTGCCCCCGCACCTGCCCCCACACCTGCCCCCCAAACAAGGAGAGCGGGCCTCCAGCCAGCCAGAGTTCGGCCCGCGGCTACAGAAAGCCCGTTAGAAACCCTTCAGGAGCTGAGCCCACCGCCCGCACTCCACTCCACCCCACCCCCACCCCGCCGAGGCAGGTGCAGCTGCTGGAGAGGCTGCGGCCACAGACATGGCCTCAGGTTCACCCCTCCCACCAGGGGCAACATCTCCGATCAACAGTCTGCAGAGAAGGGGCTTCTGGTCAGCACTGCACAGCGAGGACACGCCGGCCCTCTCTCCCCAGCGAGGCCGTCCTCAGGCGGCAGGTGCTGCCACAGGGACGCCCCTCCCCGCTGCCCGCCTGTGGCACTCGCCCCATCTGCCCACTCGCCCCATCTGCCCACCCGCCCAGGACCAGCCGGAGCAGCAGGGCCCGGGCCCGGGAACCTCAGCCACCCGTGGAGCTGGCCCAGGGCTCGGGCCCAGCTGCCGCCGAGGAAGCTCTGGCCCAACTGACAGGTGGAGGTGCCCCGAGCCAGGCCGGCGGCTGCGGAGGAGCAGACCGGAGGGCGTCCACCTTCCCCCCGCACCCCCTCTGCACGCGGCCTCGGGGTGAGAGGGAGCACCCAGCGACGTGGCCGAGGGGCTCGGAGCCACCACGTCCGGCACCGGGACGCCTCAGAGCAGGCGCCGCGGTCTGTGTCCGGAGGTCGGGGCGGCCCTGCAGCCGCGGACACGCCTACCTGAGTCCTCCATCAAGGACGGGTCCACCTTGGGAGACAGGAACGCGATGAAGAGGTTCAGGTGGTAGATGCCCAAGGCGTAGGTCACGATGTACCAGCCCTGGAAGGGAAGCCAGGTCAGGCCGGAGGCGCCGTGGGCACGCTGCCCTCGCCCGGGCCGCGGTTTGGTCCGCCGGCCAAACTGAGAGCAGACACGTCCCTCACGGAGGGGTCACGAGGGACAGCAAAGTGTGGCGACCGTCCCTGGGGACAGTTCCTGCTCTGTGTTCAGTGGACAAGCCAGAGGGCCAGTGAGATGTCCAAATCCTGAAGCCACTGGCTCCTAGGAGCACAGAGGGAGGGAGCTCACAGCTGAGTGCCGGGCCCGTCTGCCCGTGACTGCCAACAGCCCCGCTGCACCTTGAACCTGTCCCCACACACACTGAGGGCCTTCCTAAATCCCAGGAGAAACCAGAACCAACAAATCCGGAAATCAAGAATGCAGTTAAGAATGTTCTAGAGCCCCACATCTTCGGGAGACGAGGCGGAGGAACCTGCCCTGAGCTCCCTTGGGGAGCCCGGCCACCCTGCAGCCGGTGTGCAGGCCGTGGCCGCCCACGGATTCCACAGGCCCAGGCCGAGGGGCCACCAGGGTGACTGGGACAGTCGCATGACCCCGCCTGGACTCTCTAACGCAAGGTTCCTGGCTCGTTCTTTACGTCACAGAACGGACCGAGTTCAGATTGAAAACAGAACTAAACCCAGCGGCAGTGACTTCACCGCGAACCGCAGGCGGCTGTCCTCGGGCCTCCCCCTGCGCTGGCCCGGAGCCCCGCGGCTGCCTGGCAGGGCCCAGCCAGGAGGAACGCCGAGGGAGTCCCCGCTCTGCGTCCGGGAGCACGCCCAGCAAACGCCGTGTCCGCCTGCGGACATGTCCTCCTCCGTCCCGGGCAAGGCCAGGAAACACCTGCCCGCTCCAGAGAGAACCCCGGAGGCGGCCTGAGCCTGGGAACCAGCCCACCTCCCCAAGAGAACCCGCCTCGGGCCAGGCCGCCACCACAGCCAGGCGCCGCGAGGCCTCGCCTCACACCCACCTGCAGCAGGTAGACCCGGATCATGTAGACGAAGCTCAGGCCCAGCGTCACCACCCATCGCACGGCCGTGTACGGCGTGGACCTGTCCAGCCAGGACTGGTAGATCTGCAAGGACAGGAGCGCACGCGTCACCCGCCCCGCCCGCCCGCCGCCCGCAGAGAGCACCTCCCGGCGTGGGCCCAGGCCGAGCACCCCGGGCAGCGCAGCGGCGACAGCCGACCCATTTACGGCGACAACTGGAGGCAGGGCCAGCGCCCGGGCACACACACACCGAGCGGACGTCCCGGCACCAGCGAGGACGCCGAGGCAGGAACACGGGCACCGTGGAGTCCCGCCTGCAGCAGGACTCCGCCCGCTGGCCCGGAGCCGCCCTGCCCAGCACCGTGGAGCAGGCGCAGGTGGCGGACCTGCAGCCGTGGAGTCTGCAGAGGAACTCGAGTTCATATGTACACGTGTGTATGCATGCATGCATGTATAACAGCATGTATGTATCCAACTTACTTTTGAAACTGCTTAATTTTAACACTTAGGTTTTAATTGTGAAAACCTTCACCCGCTCATAAAGGTACAGAATGTGCGAACCCAGGCCCCTCCCCCACTCCCATGTCGAGTTGTTCAAATCCTTCTTGACGTTAACACGGACGGCACGGCACTGACAGCACGGCACGCGGACGCCGGGGCTGACCCCCGGGACGGAGACCGCGTGGTGCTGGGCACCGTGGAGGCGCCGCTGGCGGCACAGGCTGTCCCAGCCCACGCTGCCCAGCACGGAGGGCACCGGGCGAGGGGCCGCGGATGCAGAGGCAGGTGCCGGAAGGGGCGCCGCTCCGTCTTACCGCTTGGGAGCTGATGGTTTCCTCGTTACTAACGGTTGGAAAACAACCCAGAAACCAAGTATGTGGCAAAGCCCAGGGTCATCCACGGCCCCTTAGAATTCACGGCTCCTGACAGAGGGAGCCGGTCCTGAGAGCAAGTGCGAGGCTCCTGTGCCTGCCTGCCCCCCGCTCCCGTCACCCCTGCCCCGCGGTCACCCCCGCCCCTCCCCCGCTACCCCCACCCCACAGACATCCCCGCCCCTCCGTCACCCCCGCCCCACAGACACCCCCACCCCACAGACACCCCCGCCCCGCGGTCACCCCGCCTCCCCGTTACTGCCACCCCACAGACACCCCTGCCCCCCCGTGACCCCCGCCCCGCGGTCACCCCCGCCCCAAGGACTCCCGTCACAGCTCCGCGCAAACGCGCTCCGGCACCGGCACCCACCTGGCCGAGGCGTGTGAAGAACCTGTACACCACAGAAGGCTTCCCGTGGACGGAGTCTCCCACGCTGTCCCCTTCGGACATCCTGTAACTGAGCAAGCAAACACGCCGTTAACCAGGAAGAGGCAGCGCCGGGCCCTGTGCCACCCATGGCCGGCCTCCCGCACCCGTCGGCCGGGCGCCTCCCGTGCGCTCCTGGAAGAACAGCAGGTGACACGGCTGGTGGAGGGCCAGGAAGGCACGTGACATGCAAAGCAGCCCTGGGTGGACTTTCATTTCTCCATGTCACCCAGAGCCGCCCTGCCACAGCCCGGCCACGCACCCACGCCTGCCGCTCCCCAGACCCGCCTCCTGCACCTGCTCGTCACAGCCTGGCTCCGGCCCAGCGCCCTCTCCGCGGGCCACACCAGCCGGCTCTCCTGTCGCCTCAGGCCGCATCCTCCCCTCCTCCGAGAGGAATGGCCACGTCCGACCAGGGGTCAGCTCTGTGCCCCAGTTCCTTATCGGCAGGTGGAGTAATGCTAGCTGCTCATGACTATTTCAACACCTGGGCACGGGCCTGCGAGAACCCGCCGCCCGGCGAGTGGGCAGCATCGCCCGACTGCCCCCGGACAGCAGGTCTAGGCAGCGAGCGCCTTGCCCGAGGTCAGGGGCACGGACCCGCCGGCCGCTGCCCCGTCCTCCGAGTGAGGACCCAGGACCCAGGCGCTTCTGTCCCTAAGCGGGCCACGAGGCCGGACAAAGCTCCCGCAGGCGGCACTCCCCAATCACGGCGGTTGTTTCCACGGCCCTGAGCTGTGCGGTGAGGCCCGCTCCTCGTCTGGGGAAGGTTCTCATTCCCAGACGGGACACGGGCTGAGGCGTCTGGGGCCCGTCAGCCCTCCGTCCACCGCTGGCACCTGCCCGCCTCCCCGGCTGAGCCCGCGCTCCAACCGCTGCCGCCCCAGGAGCACCCAGACGTCCTCTCTACAGCGAGGGCAGCAGCTGGGCTGTGGTCCTGGGTCTCAGACAGAAACATTTCCCAGCCACCACTTCCACTTAGTCACGGCAGTCCGCCGAAACCGGTGTGGCTCAGTGGATAGAGCGTCAGCCTGCGGACTGAAAGGTCCCAGGTTCGATTCTGGGCAAGAGCATGTACCTTGGCTGCGGGCACATCCTCGGTGGGGGCTGTGCAAGAGGCAGCTGATCGATGATTCTCTCCCATCGATGTTTCTAACTCTCTGTCCCTCTCTCTTCCTCTCTGTAAAAAATCAATAAAACATATTTTTTTAAAAAAGGGCCCCGCAGTCCCCTCTGCCACAGGAGCCGGCCGGCAGGGCACGGGGAGTGTCCTGGAGGCTGGGGTGCCCTTTGCTCCGGGGAGACGCTCACAGAGACGGGGGCTGACCAGGACGGGATGACGGCTCCAGGCCCCACGTCGTCCGGTCCCGGAGGGCAGCTCTCCATCGCCGGGGAGATCCCGCGTTTCCTAAGGAGCTGACCAGGCAGCAGGAGCGCATCCCAGCAGCCGCCATCCTGGGGTTCCTGACGGACGGTCCCAAGCGGCACCTTCTCACCACGGAAGGGGTTTTTCTTACACCGAGGCCAGAGTGAGCCGGACAGAGAGCCCCTGCTGCCTGGTAAGGATGCTGCAGGTGCAGGGCGGCCCGTTCCCGGCCTCTGACCAGCAGCCCCGTCTCCAGGACACACACGTCAACAACACAAAGGATGTGAACTTTGGAGTCAAACGCGCTGCCTTCAGCATACGAGTCTGCAGCTTCCTCGCCAAGGGCGGGCCACATTCCAGCCCCGTCGTCCACCTGATCCCCGCTCCCCGGTGCGGCCCGCGGCCTCCCTGGCCCCGGCGGGCTGGTCCTGGCCCAGGGCCGCGGCCCCAGCGCGCTGCCTGGCCGGTCCCTCCCGGCTTCTCTCTGAGGAGGGGTCTGGCTGGGCCTGTCGCCCGGGGAGGCCTGGGACCCGCAGGCGGCGGGGAAGCTGTCAGCTGGGCTGCAGTGCTTTCTCCTCGGTCACACGAAACAAGGCGGGCCGCGCACCAGGCCGGCGTCTCCGAAGCCCCCTCTCCTCGCGGTGGGCAGCGCAGGCTCCCGCCTCCGCCAGCGTGGCTGCCTCCCGCCCCTCGTCCTCCTGCGGCCCCCGCCGCCGCTCCCGCCGCCGAAACGCCCGTCCAGCCCTCGTCGTCTGTCCCGCACGGCCGAGGGCTCCTCCCGCCCCGGCGTGACCACCCCGAGGTGTCCCCCCGGGCGGGCCACCGCGTGCGCTCAGCGGAGCGCGTCCACCGCCGAGGCCTCCCGCGGCCGCCCCGCCGCACAGCCCCGCGGAGGCGCCGCTCCGGGCCGCTCCCGGGGCCTGAGCACAGGCCCGGCCGGTGGCGGCGCCCTCGGATGTGCCCGGGACCGACGTGTCATCTCGAGCGGCGCGATGCAGCCCGTCGCCTTCCCGCCGGGCGCCCCGGACACCGGACACCGGCGCGGGGACGGAGGGCCGCGGCGCCCCGCACCCCCGGGCGGGCGGCGGCCCCTCCCAGACGCGCGGCGGGAGGGAGGACCGATCACCCACCGACCCGGGGCCCGGCCCTCCTGCCCCGCCTACCCCGCCCCGCCCCGCCCCGCCCGCCGGTACCTCGCGGCTCTGCAGCGGCCGAGCGCGGTCTCCGAGGGCCGCGGGGAGGAGGACGCGGGCAGGGGCCGCGCCGGCGCTTCGCTTGGTCCGGGAAGGGACAGACTAGCACTTCCGCTCTGTACTGCGCGGCGCCGCCTCCGGGCTTCCAAGATGGACGCCGGGGCGGAACCAAGAGCCTCCAACCATTTCCGCTTCCGGTGCGGGCGCCTCTTCCCGGCGGAAAGAGCGTAAGCGCCGGAAATGCGCTGTGCCGCGCAGGCGCAGGCTCGTCGTCTGGCTCCGGGCCCGCACGACGCCACTCCAGGTCTTGTGCTCGCCCAGAGCCTGGGCCCCTGACCACACCCCTAGCGACTAACCAGCCAATAGAGGAGGCTGCCGCGGTTGCCAAGGTAAACCTCCAGCGGCAAGATGGCAGCCGCCAGCCCAGGAAGCCGGAGCTCCCGCCCGCAGCGGCGGGACCCGCCGGGGCGGCCGCCACAGGACGGTAACGGCTGCCGGGCTGGGCGACGGGCGGGGGGCGGCTGCCCTACGCCCTTCCGGGCCTCCGTCCGGATCCCGCGCCCCTGATCCCCACGCGAACCTCCACGAGCCCCGCCGGCCGCCCTGGCCCTGGAAGGGGCTTCGTCTCCGCGGGTGCGGGTGCGGGTGCCCCGCGGGGCGGGCCGGAGGGGTCTCGGGGCCTGGAGACCGAGCCGGAGGCACCGAGCCTGGACGCGCGGTTCAGAGGCTTGACGGGAGTGTCCTCAGAGTCAGAGAAAAGGGGCTGAACTCCGAGTCCACGCCGCTCCCCCTCACCCCCCGCAGGCTGTGCCCCCACCGGGGGCTGGGGGGGGAGTTGGGGGGGGTGCGCTCACCAGCGGCGTGGCAGGAGGCAGGGCTTGGTTCTGATGGGCCTGGAGGCCACCGGAGGGGCCAGCTCTCCCCCCACCCCCTACCCCTCCCCCCGCCCCACCCCCGATGCCCTCGGCTCTCTGGCTGCTAGGCTCAGCTCAGAAGTCCCCTCTCCACTCTCAGGGCCTCCCACTGGGCCCGCCTTTCCGCACGGAGTAGGCCGGCTCAGCATGCTTGGTGCATAAGCAAGCAAGGGAGGGAGGGGAGAGGGGAGGGCAGTAAACAGGTCGAGGCCCGACCCCAGACTGAAGCCCCGGGCAGCCAAGTTGGGAAGTGCACAGCCCGCCCAGCTGGAGCCTGGGCCTGACACCATCTGGGTCGCCCGTGCCACATGCTCACCGTGTTCTGTCCATGTCAGGTTACGGTGTCTACGTGTACCCCAACTCCTTCTTCCGATACGAAGGGGAGTGGAAAGGAGGGAAGACCCACGGTAAGAAGCCTCTGGCCTCTCCCCGAGGCTGCCCCCCTGGGGAGCTGGGGGGAGGGGGAGAGGGGCCGGGTGCCGGTGGGACTGGGCCCCCTCGCTGCCACCTTCACCCAGGAAAGGCCTTGGGGGGGGCCTGCCCGGGCCTGCCACCTTCCCGCAGGCGGGAGCTGCAGCGCCTTCAGGGCTCAGCGCTGATGAGAGAGAGCTCGTCCTCTTCCGTAGGACTCTCAGCTGCAGAGAAGCGAGTGTCTGACCGGCACTGGCGGTCTCTCGGTGTTATGTCTGCCTGGGGTTCTGCTGACAGTTCTGTTGAGGAGGAGAGAGATGGGGAGAGAGAGAGAGAGAGAGAGAGGGAGAGAATTGATGTGAGAGAGACACATTAACCACTCGCCTCCCACTCGCACCCCAACGGGGGGTAAGAAGCGAACCCACAGCCAAGGTCGTGCCCTTGCCCGGACACGGAGCGGCCGAGACACCCGGGCCCACGGGCTGATGCTCCGGCCCCAGAGCAGGCGGCGGGGCCCGTGGTGCTTCCGTGTGAGCCCTTGTCCCGTGGCCCGCCCAGCGCCGTCGCTGCCTGAGCCTTTCGGCTTTTCTGGCGGCGCTTCTGCCCGAGGTTCCCCACGTGAGAGCCTCACGTCCCGGCTCTCCCTCCGGCTCTTCTCCCTGGGAGGTCTGGGCGCACCTGCGGTCCCCGGCCGCCCGGGCTGACGTCCGTTCCTCCCAGGCCGCGGGAAGCTGCTGTTTAAGGACGGCAGTTACTACGAGGGCGAGTTCGCCGACGGGGAGATCATGGGCCGCGGCTGCCGCCACTGGGCCCACACAGGTCAGCCCCGTGGAGCCCCTGGCGCCTGCTGCCCCGGCACACCGTCCCCTCACACCCAGACCCTGGCGCCTGCTGCCCCGGCACACCGTCCCCCTCACACCCAGACCCTGGCGCCTGCTGCCCCTGGGACACCGTCCCCTCACACCCAGACCCTGGCGCCTGCTGCCCCTGCACACCGTCCCCCTCACACCCAGACCCTGGCGCCTGCTGCCCCTGCACACCGTCCCCCTCACACCCAGACCCTGGCGCCTGCTGGCCCTGCACACCATCTCCCTCCGGTGCGAAAGGCACTCCCAGCTGTGAATGGGGGCCTGGCTTCCCGAGGGGGTGGGTGCTGGCAGCGTGGCCAGGAGCTGACTCAGACCCTCAGGCCCTCGGGGCAGGCGTGTGGTCAGTTCCAGGGGAGAAGGCTCCCCCCTGGATCTGGGACATCGCTGCCCACTGAGGCCCCGGGGTGGGCTCTGTGGGAACCGGGAGGTCCCATGTTCCCTCCCAAACAGAGTCTGTCCCGAACAGCCCTGCCGCCGCCGCTGCTCAGGCGATGGCACCAGCTCTGACCCTGACCCGTGCCCCCCTCACCCCCAGGGAACACCTACTCTGGCCAGTTCGTCTTCGGAGAACCCCAAGGCCAGGGCGTCATGGAGTACAGAGCGGGGGGCCGTTACGAGGGGGAGCTGTCCCACGGCGTGAGGGAAGGTCTGCCCGGTGCCCGATCTGTGGGGTGGGTGGGCTTGGCCCTGCGGTGACGGCCGATCCACGCTTCTCTCTCGTCAGTGATGTTTCTCTCTCTCCCTCATCCTTCCTCTCTGCATCAATAAAAACACGTTTTTAATAAATAAATGAAAGCAGTAGGAATGGCCTGGCTGAGCCGTCCATCCAAACCGGAAAACCCGGAACTTGGTGCAGCCCCGTCCCCACGGACTGAGGCCCCTGGAATGGCCACTCAGGCCTCGCCACTCACCTGCAGGTCCCCGTAAACACACACGTGCGCACAGGAACACATGCATGCACCCACGCCCCACAAGCAGGTCTGGGTGTGTAGCACCCCCCCCACACACACACACAGCAGGTGCGTCAGCCCCGTGGGCCCCTCCCTCGGGGCCTGGAGAGCTGCCCCCACAGCCACTTCCCCCGGGGCAGCCGCCCCGCCCCGTCACCCCAGCCCCTGGGCGCCGGTTCTGCCCCTGCCCCGGCCCCGCCTCCCCCCGGGCTGCAGCTGGGCACTGGCTTCCCCCAGGACGCGGGTGTCTGGTGGACGCGGACGGGCGCGTGTACTGGGGGGACTTCCACAACAACAAGCGCCACGGCCGCGGGCACATGGCCTTCCCGTGAGTACGGCCCCGGCACTGACCGCTCTGAGCCCGTGTGCGCGTGTGTGTGCGCGCGCATGGGTGTGTGCGTGTGTGCGTGTGTGTGTGTGTGTGTGTGTGTGTGTGTACGTGTGTGGGGGGGGCCCTCAGGCGGGAGGGCCTGCCCTCCTGGGCTGTTTCTCATCCAGAATCCGGCCGCTGGGATCTGTGGGTTCACCTCCCCTCTTCCTCCCTGTTGTCTCTCCACGTCCCACACCTGGGGCTGAGCCCACACCTGGGGCCGAGCCCACACCTGGGGCCCGAGTCCCCCACACGGGGGGGCCACGTGCTCTCAGGACCGGCTGTCACGGCTCCCATTCCTGCGGGCGCCGGGCCGGGCAGAGCCCTGGGTCGGAGGAGCGGGCTGAGCCCGGCGGCGGCTCCCGGCCTGAGCGCCTCTTGTGTCCGCAGGAACGGGGACGAGTACGAGGGCGACTGGGTGCGGGGCCAGCGGCAGGGCCACGGGGAGCTGCGCTGCGCGGACGGCTCCGTCTACGAGGTACCGGCTCCCGGGTCCCCGCTTCACCGGCCCCCGCACCTCGGCCAGAGCTCAGGGCCCTCGGCCCACCCGTGCCTGAGCCACGGCCACCGCCCTCCCGGGCGCCAAGGTGCCGGTTCTGCTCCTCCGGGGCCGGCCCGTGTCCTTCCCCCCTCCCCCTCCCTCTTCCCCCCTCCCTCCTTCCCCTCCCCTCTCCTCCTCCACCCCGCCCCCTCCCCTCCCTCCTCTCCCCTCCCTCCTCCCCCGTCACTGCGGAAAGTGCCACCTCAGTTTTAGGGGTGACACGTGGGTGAGGAGGCTCAGGCGTGTGGGGAGCCCCCGCCCAGGCCCATGTGCCCCCGAGCCAGGCTGCCCCCCACCCGGTCATGGGGCCCGTGTGGGCGAGGGGCAGCTGGTGGCTGGAGGCTGCCATGCTCAGGGTGGCCAGGGGAGCCGAACCCTGGAGACGGGAGCGGCCGCGGGGAGGGCCGGCCGGGCTGGAGCTGGTGGAGGGTCACGGGCAGGCGGACCCGCAGGGCGGGCGCGAGGAAGAGCTTTGTTCCCGGAACCCGGTCCTCCCTCGGCCCCAGGCGCCCAGGGCCCCGCCGTGGTCACAGCCGTCCCCTGGCCTCCCTGGCCAGGCCAGGAGATGGGGCAGGCTCCTGCCAATGCCAGGCTCGCCCGGTGCCTGCCGCCCATCCACTCGCCACCAGGGGGCAGCCCAGCTCTGCCCACGCCGCAGCTGCCTGCGGACCGGGGCTGCAGCCTTGCCCGAGACGAGGAGGGGTCTGCTGGACAGCGGCCCCTGGGTGCCCGGGGCGGGGGCAGCTCGGTGTGCAGGCCCAGGGCCCTCGGGGGAGGCCTGCCAGAGGAGCCGGGGTGGGACGGTCTGGCCCGCAGAGCGCAGGCTCCGGCCTCAGGGGACACGCGTGGCCCTAACCCGGCCCCGCTCCCCGCAGGGGCAGTGGCACAGCGACGTCCTCAGCGGCCTGGGCAGCGTGGCTCACTGCTCCGGGGTCGTCTACCGGGGCCTGTGGATCAGCGGCCACCCCGTGGGTAGGTGCCCCTCCTGGGTCCTGCCCGGGTCTGGCTACGTTCCCCCAGGGGCCCTGGCCAGGCGCCGGGCGGAGCGGGGGGCCTGGCTGAAGGGGGAGCTAAACCCCCCGAGAAAATGCTCCCCACGGCTCCCAGGCTCCTGACCTCCGAGGCCCGTCAGGCTTGGCACCCAAGGGGGCCGTGCGGGCAGGGCCTCCAGCGCTGGGCACTCCCGATCCCGGGGTCCCCCACCCACAGCCCCACCCGGTCCCCCCCGAGCCTGAGCACAGGTGGCCGGGGCCCACAGGGGCCTCCTCGGGGGGCCGCCCCTGAGCATTCAGTGGCCCCGGCAGGAGGAGGGTGACTGGCGGGGGGAGGCCACCGGGCACCGCGGAGCCGGCAGGGGCCTCGGTCCTGGGAAGGGGCGTGCCGGGGCCTGGGGAGGGCGGACCCCTGGGGTGCAGGGCCCCCCACAGCCAGGCACCCCCTCAACGGAGCCTCCCAGAGGAGCCTGGCCCTGCGGGGGCCCCAGCCTCAGGCTCCTCAGTTACATCACCCCAGGAAGGATTCCAGGTCCCCCCACCCCACATCAGAGTCCTGTCCAAACCCCTGGGTGTGCCCCAGCCCCACCGCCCCCAACGGGGTCCGGGGTGGCGACCGCCCTGACTCCGCTCTGGCGTTGGTTACCCTGCTGGGCGCACACCGAAGGCCCACCGCCCCGGGGCCTGCTCTCCCTTCCTCCACCGACCCCGCTCCTCCCGGCCCCCGGCCCCCAGTCCCCGGTCCCCCGTCCCCGCTCTGCCTGGTCCCCGGCCCCATCTCCCTGCTCCCTGGTCCCGGGCCCCCTCTCCCCGGTCCCCGGTCCCCGGTTCCCGGTCCCTGGTCCCTGCCTGAAGCCCCAGCGCCCATCGGGCTGTGCGAGAGGCCTCACTCTTGGGGGGCAGACCCCAGAGGGTCCTTGTGCGGGGACCTGCCCACACCAAGCCGCCCGCAGACGCAGGGGGTCCAGGCAGGAGGGGGGCCAGGGGCCGGTCCAGCGTGAGCACCCAGACCCTGCACCTGCGCCCCAGCACTTGGTGACCGGGAGGTGGAAGCGGGCGGTTCTGCCCCAAACCCAGCCACCCACCGGCCTGGGCACCGCGACGCCTCAGGGACGCCTCCCCCCCGCCAGGCGGCCGGTCAGGGGCTGGCCTCTGCGTCTGCCTGTGTGACCGGCAGGCAGAGCCCTCGGTGCGGGACACCGCGGGGTGTCGCCCACGGGGGCTCTGGCCTCGGGCACCGCAGGCCAGCGGCACGGGCACCGGCACCCAGCAGCCGGCACCGGCACCGGCACCCAGCACCCGGCACCGGCACCCGGCAGCCCCTCTGCTCCCCCAGGCCGCGCCGCGAGGACCGTGATCCTGGGCCCCGCGGTGCTGGAGGTGGCCCCGGGCGCCCCCTTCTCGGTGTGCGTGCAGCTGCTGCAGGACGACTGGACGGTCGCCGCCGGTAAGCAGGAAGCCTCGTGCGTGCGTGTGCACACGTGTGTGAGCGTGTGCGCGTGTGTGTGTGTGCATGCCCGTGTGCAGTGGTCACGCAGTCAGAGCGAGAGGACGGCGATGGTGCAGCCGGGCGCGTCTGGGAGGCTGGTCCGGCCAGGAGGGGAGGAGGCCTGGCCTGGGAGGGAATCCAGCCACCCCCCCCCCCCGTCATCCCCCCGTCTTCCCCCCAGGCCCAGCCCGTCCTGCTGCCCTCCCGGGACCGGTCAGCCGGTGGTGAGGCCCGGGAGGGACAGGCCGATGTCTCGCCTGAGCCATGGCGGGGGTGGGGGGCTACAGGGGGAGCAGGACCCGGTAATAACCGCACAGGATCCCTGATGTCACAGCGCAACAACGTGTTTCAAGTATATTTTTACTGAAGGCCCGGTGCACGGGTTCGTGCGCACTGAGAGGAAATTAATTAGAAGGTGGCCCCCAGGGCGGACTGGGCGAGACGGGCTGGACAGGCCCTGGAGCCGACCTTCATGGTTCCTTCCTGGCCAGCTGCCCCAGCCCCTCAGGCAGGTGGGGTTCCTCAGCCGGGCCTGCAGGGGTCAGGCTGACAGGCTCTCTGACATCCCCCGAGGGGTCCCCATTGTGAGAGGGCGGCTCTCGGGTGTCGCACCCGGAATCGGCCCCCTCCTCTCCGGCTCTGGGTGTGTCACCCGAGAACCGCAGGTGCCAAGTCACAGCAGCTGGGCAGCTCCTGTGATGAGCGTCTGCCCCCTGGTGGTCAGTGTGCGTCATAGCTACCGGTCGGATGGTCTGACGGTCAGAAGGTTGGATGGTCACTCAGGCTTTTATATATATAGATTGACGTCAGGGAGAGATAGAAACATCCATGATGAGCCAAAACTGGTTTGGCTCAGTGGATAGAGCGTCGGTCTGCGGACTGAAAGGTCCCAGGTTCGATTCCGGTCAAGGGCATGTACCTTGGCTGCGGGCACATCCTCGGTGGGGGGTGTGCAAGAGGCAGCTGATCGATCATTCTCTCTCATCGATGTTTCTGACTATCCCTCTTTCTTCCTCTCTGTAAAATATCAATAAAATATATATATTTTTTTTTTTAAAAAAGAAACATCCATGATGAGAGAGAATCATGGATCAGCTGCCTCCTGCACGCCCCCTACTGGGGATCAAGTCCACAACCGGGCATGTGTCCTGATCTGGATTAAACCCTGGCCTCCTGGTTCGTTGGTCGATGCTCAGCCACGGAGCCACGCCGGCCGAGCTCAGCAGGCGTCAATCAGGACGCCGAGGGGTGGCGGCACCACGTGTGCTCACTCACAATTGCTTACGTAGCCACTTCCTGCGCTGTCCTTTACATCCCATAAAGCTCACCTGTATCCGTGATTCCACGGTTTCCCGTAAATTTTAGTAAATTCGCAGTCGGACAGCCGTCTCCACCTCCCAGCGCCAGCCTAGACCCCCCAGACAGGCCTCCGCCGCGGGCGGCCCGTCACCCCCTCGGCCCCCCCCCGCCCCGCTCTGCCTCCTGGCACCTCCCGTGGACACGTGGGTGTGTCTCGGTCCGCCGTGTCCACTGCCCCCGAGCTCCCGGGTCCTGCAGGGCCACACGTGGGCCCTCCCTCCCTGCCCGGTCTCCATGGTGGGAGGTGGGGAGTGAGGGGCAGTGTCCCCCGTCCTGGGCCAGCGCGCTCCCCCCCAGGCGAAGACGGCCGGGTCCTGAGGATCTCAGCGGGCGTCCGGTACGTGCAGCTGCCGGCCTACTCGGGGGTCAGCTTCTTCAGCGTGGACGCCGGCCGACGGGAGGCGCCCATCCAGACCCCGTTGTGAGTGAGGGGGCGGGCAGGGCCCCCTCAGCCTGCGGGGGGAATGACCGGAAGTTCCCCCCGGGCCCGCCTGCTCCCACCAGCACGGGGCACGCAATGACCAGCACACATGCTCCGTCCCGGGGAGGAGGCAGAGGCTCGGGCACGCAGTGGGCACCGCAGGCGGGGGAGGGGGGGAGTGGGCACCGCAGGCGGGGGAGGGGGGGAGTGGGCACTGCAGGCGGGGGAGGGGGGAGTGGGCACCACAGGCGGGGGAGGGGGGGAGTGGGCACCGCAGGCGGGGGAGGGGGGAGTGGGCACCGCAGGCGGGGGAGGGGGGGAGTGGGCACCGCAGGCGGGGGAGGGGGGAGTGGGCACCGCAGGCGGGGGAGGGGGGAGTGGGCACCGCAGGCGGGGGAGGGGGGAGTGGGCACCGCAGGCGGGGGAGGGGGGAGTGGGCACCGCAGGCGGGGGAGGGGGGGAGTGGGCACCGCAGGCGGGGGAGGGGGGAGTGGGCACCACAGGCGGGGGAGGGGGGGAGTGGGCACCGCAGGCGGGGGAGGGGGGAGTGGGCACCGCAGGCGGCGGGAGGCGGGCTGGGCTCCGCGGAGTCTCAGGGGGTCCCAGCGTGAGACCCGCCCCCCACCCCCTGCGCCCCCTTATCTCAGGGCAGGGGGCCCTTTCTCCCCCCGGGGTGCCCCGGGGCCCCCTGTTCCCACGGCCGGGGGTCCCCAGCTGGTGCCACGCGGAGCCCAGCCCGCCCCCTCCGCAGTGGGTTCCAGTGCATCCCCTACCCGCTGTCTGACTGCCCGTCGGGCCCGGAACGTGCCCGGGCCAGCGCGTCGCCCCGCACGGGAGACCCCGAGGCGGCACGGACCCCGGACGCCCCGTGTGGCCAGGGAGACGCCCCCGGCGGCCTGCCCGGTGAGTGCAGCCCGCGCGGCCGTGGGGGGCGGCGTGTGGGTGGCGGCAGGCGCCCGGCACCTGGCACGGGAGCGGGCGGCAGGACGTCCAGGAGGACGGAGCCCAGGTGCCGTGCCGGGGGTGAGACGCCAGGCTGGGGCTGCCCACCCGGGGCCGGGCACCCAGGGTGGGGTGAGCAGGTGGGGTGTCCCGGGTCCGGGACCTGCAGCGGGTGCACCGGGGCGGGCAGCCAGGTGCTGCTGGCTGCCGGGGGGAAGGGGGGGAACCGGCCTGGAGGAGGCCTGAGGGCAGCCTGGCCGGACTCGTGGCCCCTGCGAGGGGGCCGCCCGGGGCCACCTGCGCCCGAGGGTGTCAGTCGAAGTGGCTGAGGGAGGCCATGGAGGCCAGGCCCGGGCCTGAGGTGTGGACGGCGTGCTGCCGGGCGCTGGCCTGCCCGCCCCTGGGCTGCCCTGGGCGCCAGCACCCCGCCAGGTCCGCCTGTGCCGGTGGGTGCTGCCTGGCCATGGGAGGGAGTGGACACGCCCGTGTGCCTGTGAGACCGCCGGGCGCCGCTGGGATCCAGTCCAGACCAATTCCGGGAACCAAGTCTTTGATTTCTACTCCGACGGTTTTTGCATTCAGTCCCTTCCCTGTCCTGGTTCCCGCCACGGCTCTCTCTGGACCTTTTATGCTCTTGTTTTCAGGGGGTGTCTGCCGAGACCCCGTCTTTTAGCCCACTGGCCCCCGATGTCCGTGCTGGCCGTTGCCGGGGCGCTGGGGGGACACACCTGGTCGGTCTCCGAATATGGGAACCTCACAGGCTGCAGCGGGCACAGAGCTCAGATTGCTTCTCTGCTGCTGCTTTTTACATTTTATTTTTAATATATCTTATTGATTTCTTACAGAGGAAGGGAGAGGGGAGAGAGCTAGAAACATCGATCAGCCGCCTCCTGCACCACCCCCACTGGGGATGCGCCCGCAACCAAGGTTCACGCCCTTGACCGGAATCAAACCCGAGACCCTTCAGTCCGCAGGCCGACGCTCTATCCACTGAGCCAGACCGGCCAGGGCACTGCTGCTTTTTATAAATATGTTTTTATTGGTTTCAGGGAGGAAGGGGGGGAGAGGGAGAGATCAATGAGGAGAGAGAATCATGGACCAGCTGCCTCCTCATGCCCCCCCACTGGGGATCCAGCTCGAAACCGGGCTGTGCCCCGACTGGGAATCGAACCCTGACTTCTTGGTGCCTAGGTGGACGCTCACCACTGCGCCACACGGGCTGGGCTTTTTTTTAACGAAGGAAACCCTCCAGCTGGCCCGAGTGGTTCCCCTTTTCTTTGTGGAACGCATGGCTCTGTGCATCCTCTGGCGGAGCCGGACGCCGGCTGCTGTTGGGACTTTAACAGCCAAGGTGCCCTTTGCCGCTCAGCCGATCGGCCATAAAGCGACGCTGAGCGCGGACCTCCTGGGGCGACGGCTCGTTAGTGCTAATTGCCTGGTTAATTGCGGCAGAGCAGCCCCTGGCGCGGAGGGGAAATCGGCCCGGTGCCCTGTCCCAGGTCGCGCCGAGGGGGGCTCCCGGGCCAGCGCGCCGGGCGTGGGGTGAACTCAGACTTGGGGTGTCGGGTGTGTGTGCCACACCCGAGGGTCCCCCCTCTGTCCAGGACGTGGGCTCCTTGCCCCAGCTGCCCCGCGTTCTGGGGGCTCCCTGAGAAGGAGGAGGAGCCGGGCGGCGTGGGGGCGGGGCGGCGGGGGGGCAGACAGCCTGGGGTTCGAGGGAGCACCCGGGGTCCCCTCCTTCCTGCCCCCCGGGCCTGGTCTGGGGCCCGGAGCACCCGCCTCCCTTGGCCTGCAGCCGCATGGGCGCAGCCAGAGGGCAGCGGCCGGGACCCCCACCGTCCAGCCCCTCCCGGCAGCTCCGTGGGGTCTGCCAGGGGAGCGGTTCCAGGATCCTGGGGAGAGAGGCGAGGGGCGAGGGGCAGCAGCGGGGGACAGGGGCGCTGGGGCTCCCTCCGGCCCACGGGCGGGCGGCCTGATGCGCCCCGGGGACGGACGCCTCTGGCGGGGCTCGCACAGGGGCCCCTCCTCCTGTCCCCGCGGGGACCCAGGGCGCCCCTCCAGGTGCCCCCACGGCCTCAGCCTGGCCACGCCTGCTCGGGCCCGGGGGCGGGCGCCCTCCCTGCGGCCGTGGCCTCGGGGTCTGGGCATCAGCCGGGCGGGCCAGGCCTCGCCCCGGACCCTGAGGCGCCGAGATGGAGCGTCCACCCGCGGCCCCCGGAGTCCCGTTTCCGCCGTCCCCCCGCCGTCCCCCCGCCGTCCCCCCGCCGTCCCCCCGCCGTCCCCCCGCCGTCCCCGCGCCCTACACAGGCGATTAGGGAGCTAATGGAGTCGCTGTGAACGGTGATTAGCAGACACGCCCCTCGGAGAGGCCACGCCGCCCTCCCCGGCCGCGCGGCTGTCCCGTCCTCCGGGGACCCGTCCTGCTGACGGAGCCGAGTCGCCATGACCGCCCTCCGCTGCTGCCGCTGCAGGCGGCTCCGGGCCGGGCTCTGCCCACAGGGCCGGGCAGCACCCAGAGTGCACCAGGAGCCGCTCAGGGCCCCCCGGTGAGGCGGGTCCCCCCTCCCCCTCTGAGGGTGCTCAGGCTCCGGGCTCAGCTGTGGGAGGCAGCGGCCGCGCGTCTCTTTATTTTTTAATCCATTTTTGTTGGCCTCAGGGTGGAAGGGAGAGGGAGAGAGAAAGTTCAACCATGAGAGGAAATCATGGACCGGCTGCCTCCTCCACGCCCCCCACTGGTGATCCCACCCCGGGCCTGTGTCCTTAACCAGAACCGAACCCGGGACCCTCGGGTCCGCAGGCCGGCCGGGCGGCCGCTGGGTCTTGTCCAGAACTCGGGCGGCCCGTCCTGCCCGTGGGAGCTGCCGGCAGCCTCAGCCTTTTCGCTTCGGGGTTTAGGGGTGCAGAGGGGCTGCAGGCAGTGGGGGCCCAGACTGGGGTGTGTGAGGCCGAGGGGCCCAGGGGGCCCAGGAGAGGGGGTGAGGCGGGTGTGGCTTGAGGGCGTGGCCATGCCGGAGGCCTGCCTGGGACCAGGAGGGCGTGGGGGGCTGGACTCCAGGCTGGAGCGTGAGGAGTGGGGGCTCAGAGCAAGCGGGGGCGAGAGGCTGGGCCGTTGGCTGCACCCCAAGGTGGGGCAGAGGAGAGGCCGGGATCGGGGCGGGGAGGGGCGCAGGCGAGGGGGAGGGGCTGGGTGGGGGTGTCGCTGGGGGACGTACGTGGATGGACACGTGGACCAGCTGGCGGCCGGGGTGCAGGCCCGTGTGGGTGGCGTGTGTGTGCAGAGCAAGTGCCGAAGGCGGCGAACCACACGCGTGTCCAGGCGCCGAGGGAGGGGGCTCGGCCGGCGTGGCGGCGGGGGATCTGCACCCCGATGCCCTCTGCGCTGAGCCCTGGAGACGCCTCGGGGTCGGAGGCTGCGATGGAGGAGCTGCGGCCTCAGTGCCCGCCGTCCAGCGCAGGCGTGCCGCCCCCGGGCAGAGGGCCGAGGGCGCAGAGCTGGGGGCCTTGTCCCGCGACGGGTCCCGCCATTGCCCGGCGCAGACAGCGGCGGGTCATGGGCGTGAGGTCAGCCCCTCCACCTGCACTCGGGACACGCTGGGCCGGGGCCCCTCCCCCCTCACGGACGCGGCTCCGGGGGAGGGGCGGAGGGGCGGTCAGGCCTGGGCCCGGGGCCCGTCCAGCGCACGGGGACAGATGTCCGCTCGCCGAGCCCCTGCACCAGCCTCCCGCTGCCGTCCCCGTGGGGAGCGCTGAGGGAGGGCGGGGCGGGCCTGCACTCCTGCTGGGGGGGGGGGGCGGGCCTTCACCCTCACACCTGGAGCCACGAGGGGCAGGGGCCACGGAGGGGTACCCCCTGCAGGGACACCAGGCCCGGCCAGACCCCGAGGGCCTCAGTGTCTCCTGATCTCCGTGCCGAGTCCCCCTGTGCAGCCAGGACTGGGGTGTCCACGGGGGAACCCCGCCCAGCCCCCCGGCGGCCGCCCCCGCTGGGCAGCGGGAAGGGCTGTGGCCGGGCTCAGGGTGCTCAGGGGTGTCTTTCTGGGGTCCCCTCTGTCTCCGCAGCCGGGGGGCGCTGTCCGGAGGGCTGCCGGCGAGCATGGCAGGGCTGGGCCCAGTTCGAGGGCGTCCGCCTCGGGGCGCCCCCGCCCGGCTACCACCCGGTCCCGTTCCTGGGCGGCCCGCAGGAGGTAGGGGCGGGACCCCCGGCCGAGCCGCACGCACCCACGCGCAGCCGGGGAGGGGGCGGGGCTACGGGGCGCCCCTGAGCCTCCCCTGCTCCCCCAGGAGGCCAGCGGCCGGCCCAGGGGCGGCCCGGGCCCCGGCACAGGGATGCCCACCACGCAGGACCCTCCGGGAGGCGGCAGGTAGGAGGGGCCGCCCTGGGAGCATTGGGGGGTCGTCTGCTGCCCCAGGGGCGCACATTCTGGGGGGGAGCACGGGGCACAGCTGCCTCGGTTTCCCCCTCCTTCCGCCCTGCAGACGCCACAGGCTTCTGTGGCCTGGACAGCGGGACCCGCCGGGCCTGCTGCTTTGAGGGGATCCCAGCGCCCCTCCCCAGCCCCTCGGGGACACGGGGAGGAGGGGACAAGGGGACAAGGGATGAGGGCACATGACCGGAAGCGGGAGGGGGTGCGACGGGCGCTTCCCTCAGGGGCACCTGTGGGCACCGGGCTGGGCCACACGGACACGTGGGAGTGCCAACCCATGGCCTCCTCCCCTCAGAGCCCGAGCCCCCCTCACCCTTCCACCCTCCCCTCCCTCACCCTCACCCCATCCGTCCTCAGGGGCCTGGGCCTCCTCCTCACCCTCCCGCCCGCCCTGCTGAGGGGCCTGGGCCTCAGGCCTCCGCCAGGGACCCAGCTCTGTGCCCGAGTCCCCCAGCCCCCCGGGCAATGGGGCCCCGCCTGCTCGGCCTCGGATGCCCCCCCCCCCGGCCCGGCTCTGTCGGCACCAGCCCCTCCGCCCGCACCGGCTCCGGACCCAGAAGCCCCGGCCCCGGAGCCGCCCTCCTGGCCGCCCGGGCGGAGGCCGGGCCTCACAGCGTCTGGTTCGCATTAAGGCCCCATCTCGCGAGCCGTGGCCGAGGGTGTGGTTCCTGCTGGTCCCCGGGGGCGTTTGCAGGGGCTCAGCCGCAGGAGGGGGCAGGGGCTGGACCCCCTGATGCCCTGGAAGCCCCCCGGCTCCAGGCTGGGAACGGGGCCACACGCAGGTGGAGGAGGGGTGCCGGCTCCTGCCCCTCAAGCCCCCCGCGCTTTCTGCCCCAATGTTCCTGCCCCCCCTGCCCCCGCACGGGGCTGCCTCATCCGCCCCTGAGGACCTGCTGTGAGGCCTCCCCCGTCACGGGTTCTCTGGGCCAACCCTCCTTCTGCAAGGGGGCAGGGGCAGCTGGCCTGACCGCTGCTGAGGTGGGGTACGGGCGCCTCGGGCCCCCCGGGGCTGGCTCAGGCAGAGGCAGAGCCCGCAAGGCCCAGCCCAGCCCTCAGGCTGCCCGGCCCTGCTCCCCGCACTGCATCCTGCGCCCCGCACTGCATCCTGCGCCCCGCACTGCGTCCTGCTCCCCGCACTGCATCCTGCGCCCCGCACTGCATCCTGCGCCCGCACTGCATCCTGCGCCCCGCACTGCGTCCTGCTCCCCGCACTGCATCCTGCGCCCCGCACTGCATCCTGCGCCCCGCACTGCATCCTGCGCCCCGCACTGCATCCTGCGCCCCGCACTGCGTCCTGCGCCCCGCACTGCGTCCTGCTCCCCGCACTGCGTCCTGCTCCCCGCACTGCATCCTGCGGCCCGCACTGCATCCTGCGTCCGCACTGCATCCTGCTCCCCGCACTGCATCCTGCGCCCGCACTGCATCCTGCTCCCCGCACTGCATCCTGCTCCCGCACTGCATCCTGCTCCCGCACTGCATCCTGCTCCCCGCACTGCATCCTGCTCCCCGCACTGCATCCTGCGCCCGCACTGCATCCTGCGCCCGCACTGCATCCTGCTCCCCGCACTGCATCCTGCGCCCGCACTGCATCCTGCTCCCCGCACTGCATCCTGCTCCCCGCACTGCATCCTGCTCCCCGCACTGCATCCTGCGCCCCGCACTGCATCCTGCGCCCCGCACTGCATCCTGCGCCCCGCACTGCATCCTGCTCCCCGCACTGCATCCTGCTCCCCGCACTGCATCCTGCGCCCGCACTGCGTCTGTGGCCTGGACACAGCGGCACGTGGCCGTGGGGCTTGGGCACAGCGGCACGTGGCCGTGGGCACAGGGTGACGTGGCCGTGGGGCCTGGACACAGTGGCACGTGGCCGTGGGGCCTGGACACAGCGGCATGTGGCCGTGGGCACAGGGTGACATGGCCGTGGGCACTGGACACAGTGGCATGTGGCCGTGGACACAGGGTGACGTGGCTGTGGACACAGCGGCGACGTGGCTGTGGGCCATGGGCACAGGGTGAGGAGTTCCTGGCGGCAGGGCCACGGCGGAGCCCCGGGCTGGCACAAAAGAGCCTCCGTGAGCAGCTCTGCCTCCTGGGTGGCCCCGGTCCAGGGCTGGGGAGAAGCAGTGACCAGGTGGTGGCACCCCACGGGGTAGACCCGCGTGGACAAGGCTGTCTCTCGGCCACGAGTCCTGGGCTGTGAGCTGACCGGGCTGGCGGCCACGGCCCTCTCGCCCTCCGCGCAGCTTCAGCCGGGCCAGGAGCCCCTTCCTCCGCCCGGTGACCCTCAAAGCCAGGGCCAGCCCCCACGGCCAGGGAAAGGGCGCGGGTGGCGGGGGGGCCGGGACCGGCTGTCCCGCTGCCCACGGGGCTTCACATTCTCCCCACGTGGTCCCCGTGGTGCCCAGCCACCGCCCCGGGCCAGGTGAGCCTGCCCGTCACCGGCTTCCCGCTCCGGCTCCCGGGAGGCCCGGTGCAGCCGGCATTCCTGCGGAGACATTCCTGGCACATGACGGAATTTCACAACATGACAGGCCGACGGTGTGGGCCGCAAAGCCCGGCCTGGATTCCAGGCCTCTCCCCGGAGCCTCTTTCCCCTAAACCGATGGGGGCCTCGGGGTTGGAGCCGGCACAGCCCTCCGCCGGCTCCACGCCACGGCCACGGCCACGGCCACGGCCGGGAAGCCGCCCGCCTCGCCCACGGCTGCTGTGAGGCTCCGCAGAGTCCCGGCCGGCCGCCCGGAGGAGAACGGGTGTGACTGGGACTCCTGTGGCCGGCGCTTCCGCGGCCGTTAGCCGACAGGGGGAGCCGGTTGGCGGTTCTGTGGGGTCAGTGTTTGGGGCTCACAGCCCGCGCCCCCTCCACTCAGGTCCGGGGTGACCCCTGAGCATCACAGCAAACGCAGCCTTCGCCCCCTGACCCCCCGTGGCTGGCCAGCGCCCACTCCTCACCCTCCGCAGCCTGGCCACAGGACACACACACACACACACACCCGCCGTCCCTCAGCCTCCGAGCAGAGCAGCCTGGGCAGGGAGCGCACCGGCCGCCCTGGGGCCCGGAGCTCCGGGCAGCAGCCACAGGGTCCCGGGTCCCAGAGGACCTGTCCTCCTCGGGTGCCAGCCCCTCAGGAGAAGCCTCGGTCACAGGGAGCGCGGTCAGGGGGCTCCTCCTGGCCACGGGGGGCCTGAGCCCGGGCGTGTCCTGGCCAATTGGGGGGCCCAGCGGGGGGAGCTCCTGGGAGCTCAGCAGCCACATGGGGGGGGGGCAGGCAGGGAGAGCAGCCCCCGGGGAGGCCAAGGGCCATGACGTGGGGCTGCAGCCACAGGGCGTCCAGGCTGCAGGCCCGTGGCCTGTCCCCGTCCCTCCCGGCCGGGGCCTGGGGTGGGTGCTCAGAGGAGAGGACGGGGGGGGGGGAGGGGCCTGACGCCGGGAACTGCTAGCGGCTGTGAGGACGCTGGGTCGCGCGGGTGAGGGGAGCAGGTCGGGGGAGCAGCTGGCCGCCCTCACCCACCCCCCTTAGCCAGCAATGCCTCTGCCTGACACAGGGCTGGAGCGGGGACCCCGCAGAGAGGCAGGGGGTGCTCCGGCAGTCATTGGGGCACCGCTCACAGGTACCCCCACTGAGAACACCCAGCAGGCTCCCCTGGGCCTGGAGCCCACTGCCCCCGGGACGGGACCCCCAAACGGTGCCAACCCCTCACCCCAGGCCAGGCGGGGTTCATTCACCTCTGGTGTGTGTGTGGGGAGGGACGGGGGCTCACTCGGAGGCTCAGCGTGGCCCCGGGACCCCGGAGCCGGGTAAGGAGGCACCCCCCCCCCCGCTGCCCCAGGGACAGAGGGGCCTCCTCGGCCAGCTGAGCCCTGGGGCTGTGGCTCCGGTTCTGGGGGTCCCAGGGAGGTCTGGCCCGCGCCCCCGCAGCGGGTCAGGTGGGGAGCCCTGGCCCCCCGTTTGTGTCTGATCGGGGCGGGCCTCCCCGCTCCACGGGAACCTCGTTACCGCGGCGACCACAGGCTGTGGGAGCACCTCCCCACAGCGGGCCCGACCCTGGCTCCGAGGGGCCTCCCTCGCCAGCCACGGGGACCCACGCCGGGCCCCTGCCCCCACGGCCGCCCCTGTCTGACCTCGGGCGCCAGGCCACACCCCAGGGCAGGATGGGCTGGGGCAGACGGGCTTGGCTCACCAGGGAAGGGCCCGCCCCTCTCGCCGCCCACCATGCGCTTGGCCCCGCGTCCAACGTCCAACGCGGCTCCCGAGCCTCAGGGTCCCAGCTGCCCCGGCGGAGGGCCGGCTGTGCGGGCCGGGGCTCCGCCCCCTCGGCGCTGCGTCCTCGTCCTCGCGGTGGTGGCGGTGGGTATCCCGGCCCGGCCACTCGGAGGCCTGAGAGCCAGGCACGGAGCGTGGCTGCTGCCCCGGGTCCGCCGGGTGCCTGGCCACGCCCGGGCCGCGGCTCCGCTCGGGGTGGGTATGCTTACCCTCGTCCGCACAGCCCTGAGGCCCTGACCCAGAAGGCCGTCAGGGCCCGGAGGCCACGCAGCTCTGACGGGACCTCTCAGGCCTCGGACGGCGAGGGCGCGGCCACGGGGTGTGGGCACCGGGCCCCTCACTGGCGATTGAACCCCTCAAACCCGCGTGGCAAAGCCTAACAGCAAAGCCCCGAAGGGTCCGACTGTCTCCTTCTTCTGCAGACACAGTTCCCTTTTGTGACTAATAACTGCCTGAAAATGGAGCTGGACATTATTTACAATCATACCAGCACCCGTGGAGGCTGTGTTGCCACGGGCATAAGAAGCGTGGTTCCATGTTTCCCAGGCAGTTTTCTGTTTTAGCTGAAGGTCAGTCACCACAACCAAACGTTCTTAACCAGCAGAAATGTTATTTCTGTTCAGCCAGAGTCTCACACCTTCCGGGGCCTGTTCCTTTGCGCAGTGGAAACTGTGACCAGTGCTTGGGGTCATGCAGTCGCGTGTAACGCCCAGTCTTTATTTGCTGTCCAGTTTCTTTAGGGGAGCGAGTCCCCGCCCGGCCACGTAGACAGGAGGCTCCGTGTGCAGGCGCCGCCGCCTCCCGCCTCCTCCGTTCCTCTCCTCGGCCGCTCCGGCCGGGAGGCCCTCGATGCGGAACATGGCGGCTCTGCCTCGCCGGCTCCGCTGGCTGCGCTGAGCTCTCCTCCTCTCCTTCTTTTAATGCTTTTACTGATCTCAGAGCGGAAGGGAGGGGGAGAGAGAGACATCGATGATGAGAGAGACTCAGGATCGGCCGCCTCCTGCTGGCCCCCTCACTGGGGATGGAGCCTGCAGCCCGGCCGGTGCCCTGACCGGGAATCGAACCGTGACCTCCTGGTTCCCAGATCGACGCTCAGCCCCTGAGCCACGCGGGTCGTGGGGCAGGACCCCGTACAGCACCAAGAACACAAGAACGCAGGGTGTCCAGCCCCCAGGGGATCTCAGCGCCTGGCCCAGGCACCTGGGGAGTGCCAGGAGGGAACCCTGACGAGAAGCCCAGCCGCCGGGACCGCAGCCGCCGGGACCGCAGCCGCCGGGACCGCAGCCGGGCGGGGGCAGGGGGACGAGGGGGCGCAGGCCAGGGGGGGCACAGCCGGGCGCCGTGTTCAGGAAGGCGGCGTGGCGGTGGGGATGTGGAAGTGTGAGGAGCAGGATGTGGAGAGGTCACAGCAGCTCCCAGGAGCGGGCGGGGGGCGGGGGTCAGTGGAAGGGAGAGGGCGCGGGAACTCCAGGATGGACGGACGGACGGACGGACGGAGGATGCTGCCGGCCAGAGGAGGTGGGAGCTGTGGGAGGACTCCGGCTCTGAGGTGGGGGAGGGAGGAGGGGGCAGCGAACACAGAAGGAAACATGGAAACATTCTCACGTTTGGTGGGAACCAAACCCCCAGACCGGAAGCACGGGGCCGGCCGGCCCAGCGGAGCTGTGTTCCTCTCCTCAGCGTGTCTCCTGGGTTTGGAGGGAGAGGAGGGAGAGACGAGAGAGTCCTGGGCGGGCTGCCTCCTGCGCGCCCCCCACTGAGGCTCAGCCCGCCCGCCGGGCACCTGCCCTGACGGGGACTGAACCAGCGACCTCGGTTCCTGGGTGACACTCGGCCCAAGAGGAAATCCCAGGCCCCGCCTGCCCTCGCCGGGTCGGCCCAGCCCGGGCCTCTCTGGGGAGTGGGGGGCCCAGAGGAGGGGGGGCTCCGCTCGGGGCTGCGCACAGTCGGTGCCCAATCGGGGTGTCGGGCTCCCACGGCCGCCCGGGCTCCAGCCGCCTCTGTGGGAATCTCAGCCGTGGGGCCTCCGGCGCCTCCCGCACTGTGTGCCAGCCCCTCGCCGCCCGGTGGGGGCCCTCGCCGCCCGGGGGGCCCCTCGCTGCCCGGGGGGCCCCTCGCCGCCCGGGGGTTCCGTAAAAACCTCGGCTCCTCGTTACCGTTCGGTTATTCTCGGCGCCGCCCCTCCCCGCACGTCCGACCCCAAACGTGGCTTCGGGGGCCGAGCCGAGGCGAAGGAATTTTAAAATCCTTTGTCTTTAAATTTTTATCACCATGTGGTATTGCAGCTCGGCCAGGGCCAGCCTGGCTGGTCGCCAAGCCATCGGGGAGCCCCAGTCCCTGCCCTCTGACGGCAAGAAGGGGGGCCATGGGGAGGGGGCTCCTGGCTCCCTCCAAGGCCTTTGGGGAGCCGTTCAGGGCAGAACCAGCCTCTGCGCCACCCAAGCCGCTGCCCGGGGCCAAGGACCGGGCGCCCCCTCGGAGCACCCAATCTGCGCCCCTGCCTGGTCTCTGAGGACGGGCGTCAGATCCCCAGGCACAGCCGGTCTGCGGACCGCTGACCCCGGGGCCCAGGAGCCAGCGGGCGGGCCCTTCGCTCCTGCCCAGCGACCACGGCCCCAAAGCCCTCTGCTCCGGACGGACGGGCCGGGCGGGTCTGGAGCTGCCCACCGGGGACCGCAGAGACGCGGGCCGGCCGCCCCTCGCTCCCCACCCGCCCTCCCATCCCCGCCCCGCCAGGCGGCAGTGACCTTGGTTCCCAGAGGGCAGCCCTGCCCTGGGCCCGGCCCCCGCGGAGCCCTGTGCCCACCGCCGCCTCCGGTCACTGGTCAGCCGGCCAGGGGGCGGGCTTGTCCCTCTGACCACCGCTGTCTGTGCCATGTTGGTGTTCAGACAGCGAGATGCCTCACGGCCCCTCTCCTCAGGGCCGGCCATGCCAGAGGGCCGACACGCTGACCCTGGGGGGGTGGCCTGGGGGCCAGGACAGCCACGGGTGGCCTCCGGCCCTGTGGCCCCGTGTGCGTGTGTATGCGTGTGCGTGTGTATGCGTGTGCGTGGCAGGGGAGGGGTGCCACATGCGAGGCTGCACTCAGGGCCTCTCTCCTCTTCCCAGGCCGGACGGGGCGGCCAAGGCAGAGCCGGGGACCGAGGCGCTCCCAGGTAGGGGGGCCGTGGGGGCGGACGCCCCACCCAGCAATCATCCGTCACCGCTGGGAGGTGGGCGCCTGCTCCCTCCTCCGAACCGGCTGCAGGCCGGGCCGTGGGGCGGGGCAGGCATCCTGGCTGCCCGGCCTGACGCCCCCAGAGGCGGGGTCCCCGGGAGGCTGTGGGGGGGAGGGGAGGGGCCCAGGGCAGGGGCCCTCCCGGCTGGGCTCTCTGTGCCCTCAGCCCAGGGGTGTCTGGGTCCAAGCCCAGCCCCCCAGGAAGGTCCTTGTGTGGGTGCAGCTCTGGGATTACCCCGTTTCAGGACCCAGGGGTGCCTGAAGAGGGGTGAGGCGGGAGGGGGGCGCCCGTTGCTGTCTTGGGGGCCGGGGTGGGGTCGCCCACTGCCGGGGCCTGAGGAGGGGCTTCCAGCGGCTGGTGGGGCGCCGGGCCAGGGCCCGGGCCACGTGGCGCCGCCGGGCAGGAGGTTCTGAGGCCGGCGGTCCCCCGCGGTGCCCCTGCCCGGCGGCCGCGCTCCAGGCAACACCTGGACGGCGCGGGCGCGGGAAACGCGCTGCCACGCCCGTCTCCTCCGGCTGCGGATGCGGCCCTCCCCCGCCGCCCCCGAAGCCCCCGCCCCGGCTCCGCAGGAACCGACCCGGCCGAGCCCACCCCCGCGGCCCGTCCCGGTCCTGCCGGCTCGTCCCCGGGCCAGGCCGCTCCGCCCGCTCAGCGCATTCCTGTGTGAGCGCGGCCGGCCGGAGGGAGAGGGCGGTTTCCATGGCAACCTCACTTTCTGTTAGTCCTATTTTCTTTGTTATGTTTCCCCAACTTCGGAGCTCTCGGCAGCGTCCTGGCCGCAGAGCCGAGTGCTTTCTGCCCCCGCCCCGTCCCCGGCAGAGCGGTCCCCCACCCTGCTCCCCACGACCCCCCTGCTCCCCACGACCCCCCACTGCTCCCCACGACCTTCCACACCCTGCTCCCCACGACCCCCACTGCTCCCCACAACCCCCCACTGCTCCCCACGACCCCCACTGCTCCCCACGACCCCCCACTGCTCCCCACGACCCCCAAACTGCTCCCCACGACCCCCCACTGCTCCCTACGACCCCCCACTGCTCCCCACGACCCCCCCTGCTCCCCACGACCCCCCCACTGCTCCCCACGACCTTCCACACCCTGCTCCCCACGACCCCCACTGCTCCCCACAACCCCCCACTGCTCCCCACGACCCCCACACTGCTCCCCACAATCCCCCACTGTTCCCCACGACCCCCACACTGCTGCTCCCCACGACCCCCACTGCTCCCCACGACCCCCACTGCTCCCCACGACCCCCAAACTGCTGCTCCCCACGACCCCCACACTGCTGCTCCCCACGACCCCCCACTGCTCCCCACGACCCCCAAACTGCTCCCCACGACCCCCCACTGCTCCCCACGACCCCCCACTGCTCCCCACGACCCCCACTGCTCCCCACGACCCCCAAACTGCTCCCCACGACCCCCACTGCTCCCCACGACCCCCCACTGCTCCCCACGAACCCCCACTGCTCCCCACGACCCCCAAACTGCTCCCCACGACCCCCACTGCTCCCCACAATCCCCCACTGCTCCCCACGACTCCCCACACTGCTCCCCACGACCCCCGACACTGCTCCCGAGCAGAGTGACCTCCCACACTGCTCCCCACGACCCCGCAAACTGCTCCCGCGCGGAGGGGCGAGGCTTCGGAACAGGCAGCCAGGCCCTCGGAGCGGATGATTTGGAAAAACACTTTAGAGGAAACGAATCCTTTTCTCCTAAAGACCCAGCCACGTGGCCCTCAGCGGGAGGGGCTCTCTGCCCCCACAGCCCCGCCCTCCCCTCCGGCCCCAGCTCTGCCCCCTCCCCGGAGCCTGAGTCCCGAGGGTGCAGGGGTTCACTCGCCAAATCCATTTCTTTGTAAAACTATGTTTTTACTAGAGGCTCAGCCCAGCCTGCGCCCGTTAGCATCCGGGGGCCTCGGGGGTGCCAACTGCCCCGGAGGCGGGGGGCTCCCACCTGGAGGCTGTGCTGGCGGCTCCCCGCCCCCCCCCCCCAAGTACACTACACTAGGGGCAGCTCCTGAGCTGAGCATCTGCCTCCTGGTGGTCAGTGCATGTCATAGCGACTGGTCGTTCTGCCATTCGGTCTATTTGCATATTAACCTTTTATTATATAGGATTGACTTCAGAGAGGAAGGGAGAGGGAGAGAGAGAGAGAGAGAGAGCATCCATGATGAGAATCGTGGATCAGCTGCCTCCTGCCCGCCCCACCCTGGGGATTGAGCCTGCAACCCGGGCCTGTGCCCCAACCGGGAATCAAATCCAGAACCCTTCAGTCCGCAGGCCGATGCTCTATCCACTGAGCCACTCCAGCCAGGGCCCAAATGCATTTCCTCACCGGGTGCCCCAGCAGCTGGGCAGGTGGGGGCGGGGCGGGAGGCTCCGGGTGCCATGGGGGTGGCAGCCGCCGCAGGCAGAGGCCGTGGAGCCAGCTGGAGCCCCTCCCGTCTCCCGCAGGGGAATACGTCATCATGGTCCAGGACGTGACCACCCCCCCATTCCTGGGCCACAGGCTGCCCACGGCCTTCAAGCACCTCCGGGTGTCCGCGAGGGAGAAGGCCCCGGAGCCCGGAGCCGGGAGCGCCGCCCTCCCCCGGGCACTGGCGCCCCCTCTGGACACCACCTCCTCCTGAGGGCAGACACGCAGCCCTGCTTCCCGGGCGCCACCCTCTCCCCTCCCCGGGGCCCAGGGGCCCCACACCCCCAGAGCCACTGTGTTAATAAAGTTCTCAACGCTGACAACCGAGCCCTGAAGTCCCGCCACGCCCGCCCCGTGATGGCCGCTCCGGGCGTCCTGCAGCGAGGCCGGCCCAGCTGCCCGCTCAGCCCCCGCCCGGCCTCGGTGGGCACTCGGAGCCGCCCCCCAGGGAGAAATTGGGGCCAGTGCCGGGGGGTTGGTTTTCAAGAAATGGGCTGCCCGTCCGAGCCTCACAGGACCAGCAAGGATGGCGGAGGGCGCGGGGGCCCAGCCGGACACGTGCTCAGCGCGAAGGGCTGGCGGTGCCACCTCGTCGGACGCCCCTCCCTGTGGGCTCACCTGCCCAGAGAGCCTGGCTCCACACCCGCCGGCCCCCCTCCCTCCATCCCAGGGCCTGTTCCTCCTCAGCACCGCCCCCTGGGCCCCCTGCACCCTCTGACCAGGCCCCCACGGCTCTGCGTGGCTCGGGGGTCCCCCCTCCCCGGCCTTCCTCCCGGCCTCTCCCCAGCTCCAGCCACGACGGCCAGCTGTGAGGCCGGGGTGCAGCCACGACGGTGGGAGGCAGACTGCACGCCCCAAGCCCAGTTCCCACCCATCCCCCAGCCCAGTGTGGCCACAGTCACACCGCTGCCCTTTCCTCTGTGGCCCCAGGTCTGGTCCAGCCTCCAAACCCCCTCCCCTGTCCCAGCAGGGGGCAGGAGACACCCAATGGCTACGAGCCCCCCGCCCTCTCCCCCGCTCGGCCTCCTCTCCTGCTGCCCCGCTCCTGCCTGGACCCTTCCAGGAGGCCTGGCCTCGCTCACCCACCCCCAGGCTCCTTCCACTCGCTCCGGGTTCCTCTTCCTGCCTTTGCACTGTCAGTCGGCGTCTCCCGAAGGTGGGCGTCTTGCTCACGGTGTGGCCCCAGCGCCCAGCGAGGCGTGGCCTCCGGAGGGCGCTCACCTGGGCTGGTCAGCGAGGATCTGGAGCACCTGCCCGCCAGGCAGTGTGGGAGGCGCTGGGGACACGCCAGGTGGGGGAGGGGGAGCAGGAGGAGGACAGTGACCAGCTGGAGGGATGCGGAGCAGATGGAAACCAGAGGGTGGGAGTTGGTGGGTGGGTAGATGGACGAATTGGGTGGGTGGTGGATGGGTGGGTGGTGGGTGGATGATGAGTGGTGGATGGTGAATGGGTGGTGGAGGAATGAGGTAGGTGATAGATGGATGGATTGTTGGGTGGATGGGTGGATTGGTGGGAGAATAGTGGGTTGGTGGGTGGATGGGTGGATTGATGGGTGGATGGGTAAGTGGGTAGATTAGTGGATGGTTAGGTGGATGGATGGGTGGATAGGTAGATGGATGGATTGTTGGGTGGATGGGTGGATTGGTGGGAGAATAGTGGGTTGGTGGGTGGATGGGTGGATTGATGGGTGGATGGGTAGGTGGGTAGATTAGTGGATGGTTAGGTGGATGGATGGGTGGATAGGTAGATGGATGGATTGTTGGGTGGATGGGTGGGTGGATTGGTGGGTGGATGGGTGGATTGATGGGTGGATGGGTAAGTGGGTAGATTAGTGGATGGTTAGGTGGATGGATGGGTGGATAGGTAGATGGATGGATTGTTGGGTGGATGGGTGGATTGGTGGGAGAATAGTGGGTTGGTGGGTGGATGGGTGGATTGATGGGTGGATGGGTAGGTGGGTAGATTAGTGGATGGTTAGGTGGATGGATGGGTGGATAGGTAGATGGATGGATTGTTGGGTGGATGGGTGGGTGGATTGGTGGGTGGATGGGTGGATTGATGGGTGGATGGGTAAGTGGGTAGATTAGTGGATGGTTAGGTGGATGGATGGGTGGATAGGTAGATGGATGGATTGTTGGGTGGATGGGTGGATTGGTGGGAGAATAGTGGGTTGGTGGGTGGATGGGTGGATTGATGGGTGGATGGGTAGGTGGGTAGATTAGTGGATGGTTAGGTGGATGGATGGGTGGATAGGTAGATGGATGGATTGTTGGGTGGATGGGTGGGTGGATTGGTGGGTGGATGGGTGGATTGATGGGTGGATGGTTAGGTGGATGGATGGGTGTATGGATGGATTGTTGGGTGGATGGGTGGATGGATGGATTGGTGGGAGAATAGTGGATTGGTGGGTAGATGGGTGGATTGTTGGGTGGATGGGTAGGTGGGTAGATTAGTGGATGGTTAGGTGGATGGATGGGTGGATGGATGGATTGTTGGGTGGATGGGTGGATGGGTGGGTGTATTGGTGGGTGGATGGGTGGATTGTTGGGTGGATGGGTGGATGGATGGATTGTTGGGTGGATGGGTGGGTGTATTGGTGGGTGGATGGGTGGATTGATGGGTGGATGGGTGGGTGGATTGGTGGGAGAATATTGGGTTGATGGGTGGATGGGTAGGTGGGTAGATTAGTGGATGGTTAGGTGGATGGATGGGTGTATGGATGGATTGTTGGGTGGATGGGTGGATGGATGGATTGGTGGGAGAATAGTGGGTTGGTGGGTAGATGGGTGGATTGATGGGTAGGTGAGTAGATTAGTGGATGGTTAGGTGGATGGATGGGTGGATAGGTGGATGGATGGATTGTTGGGTGGATGGGTGGGTGTATTGGTGGGTGGATGAATGGATTGGTGGGTGGATTGGTGGGTGGATTGGTGGGTGGATGAGTACAGATGGACAGCAGACAGATGGGTGGTCAGTGACTCTGGGTGGAATGGAGATGGGCTGGTCCTCAGGAGGTGGGTCCACATGGGAACTGATCTTACGTGGAAGGAAGAGCCCAGCATCAGCCCAACGCCAAACAGTCCTTCCCGACCCGCCCTGGCGCCACCCCATCGCCCGCCCTCGGCGTTCCCCACCCAGCTTTTCCTCAGCACCCATCGGCGGTGGGAGGACAGATGGGCCCCCTGCGGGACCCGAGGGCAGAGCCTGGGCCCCCGAGACACCTCCCCATCCCGAGGCCCCGCTCCCGCAGCACCCTCCCCGCCCCCCGCAGGATGGGGCGGTGTCACCCGGAGCCCAGGGCCCGCGCAACCCCGCCCCCCGCCCGCAGGCCCCGCCCCTCCACAAACCCCGCCCCAACACAGGCCCCGCCCCTCCACAAAACCTGCCCCTTCCATCACAGGTCCCGCCCCTTTCATCTCAGGCCACGCCCCTTCCACCACAGAGCCCGCCCCAACAAGGCCCCGCCCCTCCTGCCACAGGCCCCGCCCATCACAGACCCCGCCCCGCCCACAGGCCGGTCCCGCTGGGGAGGCGGAGGGTCCGGCGCGGAGGCTGCTGTCGGCGGGCGCCCGGGGTCCCCCTCTCTGTCCCCCCCCAGGCCGGCCGGAAGCCGCGGGCCGCCGTCCAGGCTGGGAGGATGGGCGTTTGCACGGCCCGGGCGACGGCGGGCGGCGGCGGGAGAGAAACGGGCGGCGGAGGCGCAACGGGCGCTGCGGGAGAGGCGGCGCCGACCCGGCCCCGCTCCCGGGGGACCCCCCCGCCGGCCCCGCTCCCGGGGGACCCCGCCTCCCGCCGGCCCCGCTCCCGGGGGACCCCGCCTCCCGCCGGCCCCGCTCCCGGGGGACCCCGCCCCCCGCCGGCGCCGCTCCCGGGGGACCCCCCCGCCGGCCCTCGCCCCCCCGCCCCCGCCGGCCCCGGTCCTGGGGGACCCCGCCTCCCGCCCCCGGCCGGTCCGGGGAGCCCGGGGGGAGGGCTGCGCCCGCTGAGCGAGGCCCGGTGGGCCGCCCGTGTGGAGGCGCCGGGGCGGGGGCTCGGGCTCCCCAGGGCCCCGCGGGGGCACCAGCGCGCCCCCCTCCAGCCCGGCTTCCGGCCGGAGGCGCGGGAATCGAACCGGGACTCTAACCCCCGGAGGTCCTGTCCCGCCCGCCCCGGCGCCCCTGCCCGCCCCCAGCGTGGGGCGCATGGGTGGTGGGTGGCCGCCCTGCCCGGAGCCCGGCAGCCGAGGCCCCACACTCGGCCTGTCCCGGCAAGCCCTGCCTCCGCCCGGGCACCGGTGGAGGGAGCCAGATGGCGGCCGGAGGGGCCACACCCCTGCAGCCTCCTCTGGGCCCCCTCACCTCCCAGCCTGGCAGGAGCCTTTTCTGGGCTTTTTCCTTAGAGACAGGAAGTCTGGGTGTCCAGGCCCGGACAGGAGCCGCCGGCTGGGGGTAGACCCCTGGGAACTTGCCCCCGCCCGGCCCCTGCCGCCCCGGGGCACCGTGGAGAAGGGAAGGACACCCACCTGGACCGGCCTGGGTGCCCAGGCTCTGCCCACCTGGTTCCAGCCCAGCACCGGGGTCCCAGACGGAGACGTGAACTCGAGGCACAGCTGCAGGCCTGACCCAGCTCCCCAGGCCCCTCTGCCAGGCCCAGGTCTGGTCCAGAGCCTGAGAGGCGTGGCTTTGGAGGGCGTGACGTGCAGCCTGCTTTTGGGGTCTCCCCATGACTGCCTACCCACTCCCACCCCCACTGTGGACCTGGGAACCCCTCCAAGATGGAGGATGGAGCCCAAGGTGGGTGGCCAGGGAGTCGGTGCTCACGGGAGTGGGCCCGGCCAGACACCAGCTGCCCAAGGGGCCTGGCCAGGATTGGGGGGAGCAGGGGAGGGCGACACCCCCAGGCCTGCATGCAAGCTGATCCATCCGGCTTCCCGTGCACACCAGCCCTCCGGGTGGACATGGGGCCTGTCTGGGCCGCAGCTCAGTGCCCAGGGGACGAGCTGGGCCCCAGGCCGCCCTCCTGCCTTCCCCCCTTCCCACCCGGCCTGGGCCCGGAGCCGGCCTCCGGGGACCTGGACACGTGTCCTCCGAGGGGGGCCTTCTGGGACGGGAACCTGAGCCCGCCCTCGAGCTGCCTTCTTCACAAGGTGCCCTGTCCCTGGAGGTTCCTGGAACAGCCTCCGCGGCCACAGGAGGCACTGGGCGAGCGCCTGGGCCAGCTTCCTGCACAGACGGC